TTCACTCCAAGTGGGCAAGAGCAGCCAGCCTGTGGCTTTTGAGCTTCATCAGCTTCATGCCTCAGATGCCACTAGGTCACTAGGCCCATTGGATCCCTGAACATATTTCTCGGGTCTAGGTTCAGTCTGGCCAGTGATGGAATACAACCAGGCGCAATCTTACGCGAAACGAAAGACCCTACAGAAAGCGGTCTGCCATCCATGGCAGCGAACACAACACCTGCCAAGAGGACTGAATGAAGCAGAAGCATTGGGAAGCACACTGGGGCTAATACTCTCTATCTAGGACCAGGAGTGAGCGAAAGGCGTTTGCAGCCTTCCGTTGATTTTGAGACACGCAAAGAAAATATCTAGCCGTCCATGTGCGCTTCAGCTCAGCTTGAGCTATTCAAGCCGAAGAAGACCACGTTGTGAATATGGGAGGAGAAGAGGGAGGAGGAGGAGGAGGAGGAGGACGAGGAGGGCGTACTCTCTAGTGTTCAAAAGACTCGCCACAGGATCACATTCCAGCTCAGCTGGTCCTCATCAAGTGGGCCGGTAGGGAGCGACCCATTCGCTCACAACCCGATTCACGCACTTGCCCGGCGGGATTTGCACACAGTGGATGTTGCGCTTTGTGCTCGCACGCACAAGATTATGCAACTCTTAAAGTGACATTTCCTACAAAACCTCAACCCTAAACACTCTAAAGCTTCCTGAGAACAAAACCCTCAGAACCCTTCAAACCCTGCCCAGAAACGCCCCTGGTGCAAAAACCGTTGTCAAAAACCCTTATTCAGAGGCTTTTGAACCTTCAAGCCCAAGCAATCCAAACCCTAAGAACCCTAAACCCTGGCCAGGGTCGAGGCAGAAAGAACTCAACCCTAAACCCTCCAAGCCATGAACGAAAACCCTAACAAAGTCAAGATGTTACCTGGGGGTGGGTGGCTAAAACCCTAAACCCGAAACCACTAACCCTAAACCCCAAAACCCGAAAAAACCCTAAAGAGCCCAAAAGCCCAAAAGCCCCAAAGCAAAATAGACTCGACCATGAGACGCCTCAGGCCTAAAGCCCGTAAACCCCCAAGAACCCTAAGCCCAACCCTGAAGCCCCCGCTGTGAGCCGCAAACTCCCTCGGCCCTGAAAAGAACCCTTAAACAAGCCCTAAACCCTAAACCCTAAACAACCCCCCAACCCTGAACCCCCCAGACACCATGAGGCCCCAAAAGCCTCAAACCCTTGACCATGAAAAACCCTCAGCCCTCAAAAGCCTGACGCACGCCCAAAACCCCCTGCCTACAACCCCTGGTAAAACCAAGATTCCTAAACCCCCAAGCCATAAACACCCTCAGTCCTGAAAACCCTGACCTTTGAAGCCCAGAGATTAGCTTGGGTGTTAGGGAAGGCAAAAAAATTGTGCTTAGTTCAGGCTCAGTTTTTGTGCTCGAATCGTGCGTGTTTGAATCAGCAGCGCTTGAGCCGCGAGCTCTCGAATCAGGACTCGCGCTTGAAACGCCAGTGCTTGAACCGCTCTTGGGCTTGAATCGCGAGTGCCTGAATCGCAGTACTTGAACCCCGGCCAGTGCTTGAAGCAGACTTTTACACAGGTGGGACTTCTGCGCAGATAGGCCAAGTGGATCGACGAAGCATCGGGTCGTCAGGTGTGGCCCATCAGTGCATCTTAAATCTTAGATGTTTCGCCACATCTCGTTGGCACCCCTGCCAGCAACTGTTGCATCATGTTGCATCAGAGCCGCTCGGAAGGCAGGGCGTCTTTGCCACCTTGAGCGTCAGCTTCCGCTGGTGCTGTCCTCAAGCCCCACACGCAGATGCCGCAGATGCAGCACAGGTACGTCTGTTGAGCAGCACCAACTGGGCAACTGGGCTCGAGGCGGTGAATTGCTAAGGCACGGGTCTGCAACTTCGACAGTCGCTTCCTCACGGAATCTGACAGCCGCAGATGCAAAGACGAGGTCCGAGGATGTCCGAGGTCCTCCGGAGACTTGGAGAGATTCTCCCTTCGCCCATCGTTTGGAGCTTTTGCCTTCCCCTGGAACCCGGAAGAGAGGCGCAAAGGATGCAAAGAACGCAAAACATGCCAAGGATGCCCGGGTGCGACCACGAGATGCCACAGCCCAACCATCATCTCAGACGCTTTCAGTTGAACATCGTTGAAGACATTTGAGAACTTAACAAGTCCATGTCGCGGCCTTCAGCAATGGCTTCCTCTGCTACCGCATGCCCGGACACACTGCCTGCATCGGGCAAGAGCGGCGCATGCGCACTGGTAGAAGAAGTGTGGCGGCGTCTTCCTAAATAATCAGTTACGAAACGGTACTACAGGATGCTTTCCATCGTTGGGCTGGTTGATTCCACGCAAGTGTTTTGCGGTTCTGCGCCACTTCAACCGATAAGTAAAGCCTAATTACTTGTTGAAAAATCCCTGAGCCCTCCGCCTGCCTGTATCGGAGGCGGTCTTTGCTGAGGCACGCTGTGGACCCCAGTCGAATTGAATAGACCGTCCTCCAAGGCAAGGATCAGGAATCACTACTCTTGAAGCACATTCCGGCTCCGGCCTACACTGCACGTCTCCAGCGCGGCTGGTCGCTCTTTGAGGGGCATGATGTTTGCCTGCGACAAAAAAAAAGAGGGAGGTCCACCGTGCAGCGTCGTGTCAGAAATCACAAAAGCACACCTCGCGATGAAGCCGTACCGTGAGTGCCTCAGTTCCAGGTACGAGTCGAGTTGATGCGTTGAGGCGAAACCGCAGCGTTGCACGTGTCCCTCAGCTCCGCACGATCAAGTCGATGTCATTTGTGGACAGAAAGCCAAAGTCCCCGGTGGCCTTGCAGACTGCCAACCTTCAACATTCTTGACATCAACCCTTTCCCAACCCATCGCCTTCGCAAACTGCTTTGCAAAGGCTATGTCCTGCAACACTGCAAAGTGTTGCCGATAGCGGAGTCGAGCTTCGAATCGGCATCCCCAAGTTCGAGATCATGCCAAGTGGTTGAGTGGGAGCTTTTTTTTGGTCGCGCGAGCTGTTGCTGCACAAGGTGTGCTGCCCCATGAAAGCCCAAACAGCAACCAAGAAAACAACCAGGCACCCGGGGATCAACAGCCTGTCCGGCAAGAGACGTGCCAGAGGCAGTTGAATTAAACTGGATTTCAAGGGCGGCCAGCGAACGGTACCTTCAAAACCCACAGACCACCATGACCGAATGGCTGTTGAAACCCAAATCTTGCAAGCTGTACACAAGCAAGCTGGCCGATTGCCAGGGTGGATCCTCACATGCGGGGCTTAGACCCACTGCTGCTTTGGCGAATTCGCTTCTGCGCAACTGCAACGCCTGTGCAAAACACAAAAAGGGCAACGCTTCGCATCTTCCGAGGTAGCAGCCCACGCCGGAAGTCAGTGACGGTCAGTGCGCATCCTGACATCTCCAGGGCCAAAAACGCCACAACTCTACAATCAGGGTTTATGGTGGGACCAGGCAACCTTCAACTTCGGAAATATAGAGCACACACGATCAAGGTGCACCCCCCCCCCCCCCTGGCATGCCCCTTCGAGGTGTGGTTGTGGGGTTCTGGGTAAGGCTTTAGGGTTTTTTTCAGTTAGGGTCTAGGCACTAGGCACGCTGGAAGCGCGCAGTTGTATGCAAACATGCCCTGCCCACCCCAAGACCACCCAAACACGACTCAACACGAACCCAAACCAGCGCCAGTCACAAAGCAAAACCAAATTCCCATGAGCCTTTGTCGTTGAAGATGTTCGGATCTAAATCGTATCCGAATACCAAAATTTTATGGAAACTAGGTTTACGGACCGTACTGCTATGTATAGATCGACAGGACAAGCATTTCGCATGTAACTGCCTCCGAATAACAACTTGCTGGCTTTCCGTCGGGTGTGCCTGTCAGAGTAACAAGTTTCTGAAAATTAAGTTTAAGGTTTCCGGATGCGGATGGGGCAACTCTAGGCCGAAGGGCCTTGTCATCGAACAGACACCAGGTCCAAAATCGCATTAGAGTAACAAGTTCTTCAGAGTCTCCACCGGGGTGTTCTAGGTCGAAGGGCCTGTCTCACGACTTGTTGTTAAACTGATGATGCAGGCCCGGGGCCCTTAAGTGGACTGGGGAACAGCGGGAAGGCGAATCCGGACTCAAGCACCGCCCTGCCAAGTGGACTTCGGATTGGGGGCCTATCAGAATACAGGGAGCCCGCACATGGACTTCAAGTGGAGGCGTCTGGACTTGGATGGGGTGGGAAGGGGGTGCGCAGCCCAGCAAAGCCTGCCATGGTCTCGCTGAACGCTCACCCAACAGACGTGAGAGGGGTGGCCGACCGGTGTCGGGCTTGAGGTTTGAAGTCTTTAGACTCGAAAATTTGAACATTCACGGTTGTCTTGTGCCTTTTCTAGAGTTGTTAAAACTTCTGCTTAGGGTTTTTAAGTGTCAAAAATTGAGGGTTTAGGTTCTGAAGGGTACAGGGTTCAGGGTTTGCATGAGGCTGTTTCTTGGGGTGGAATGGAATGCGGGGGGGGGGGGGGGGGGGCCAGGGTTGTGTAGCCCTGAATCCCCAGAAGCTTGCCCTACAAAAAGGGATGACAGCGCAGCCCTAGACATGATGTAAAAGCATCAGAGCAGCCGTGACCCTTTGTTTCACGCGACGAGCCCAAGCTTGGCAAACGAGTCCACAGTGCACCTGCCTTTGACAGGCCAACAAGACGTCAGCGCACATATGATAGATATGTGCACACTCCCAGTGGCTCGAACCCGTGAAACACTCTCACAGCTAAGCGACTGACATGCCCTGTGCGTGGGCAACTACGACCACTCATGTCCAATTTGCACAAAATCTACACAGGCAAACGCTTTCACGTGTTCCACGTGTAGACGTGGGACTGCATGTCGTCACGACACACTCTCTCCCATCAAAATGAAGATGCCGAAACTAAATTATGAGAAAACCCTGCCAGACAGCACATCTCCAACGATGAAGCAGTTGCTCGGCCAAAACTCAGAAGAAAAGGTGGCAGCAACAGGGGTCCGTGGGCGATTTGCCATCATGTATGTCCTGCCATGGAGTTTTTGCGAAAGCCCAAAGACTTCACAAAATTCAAGACCACCTGAGACTGCTTCGTGAGATGCGGGTCGCCTGGCGCCCGGGTCCCTTGTAGGCTTTGACCCTGTCGATGACTTGCTCCACCTGTTCAGCACCGGGGCAATGCAGTGCCCCAAACCCTAATGAGAACTCTGGTATCCCTAGCTTGTTGCGTTGCTTTGGTCCCAGCCTGGAAGTTCTGTGAGTTAGGATTTGGATGGTAGTTCATGCCTGCACGTGCACCGTGCCAATGGCAATGGATCAAGGTCCAACAAACAGCTCTCGAAACCAGCTGCTTTCAAAATAGGCGCCTCGCCAAGTCCAAAAAGGCTTTACAACTTTAACCAACTCCGCTGTGCAGACATCTGAACAGCATGCCACGTGCCGACGCCTAGCAGCCTGAGGCCAGACATGAGGCCAATCCGCTTCCTGAGCCGCAGTGTCCCTGACTAGTTCGGAATATGTTTTTACTGGAAGGATGCCAGTTCCATGGATTCAGTTGGCTGCTGGCTCACGCGTAACTGCTTTTGCAATTGGGAAATAACAAGGTAGAGCAGCAGTGGCAGGGCAGTGGAACAGGTGGCTACGTTCACGCACAGGTTGAACAGTGTTGTTCTGGTAGAGGCATATGTAGCAAGTGGTACGCTGGTACGGAGTCCTGGCTTGCCTCTCTGTGCTTTGTGTTCTTGCTTTTGTTTTGCCAAGTTTTGCCTGTGCTTGGGGCTTGGTGCGGAAGCCCTGCGCACGCGCAGCTCTCCGTCTCTGTCGCTGTTTTCCAGTTTGCTATTATGGGGAAGTCCGTGAGGCCAAACAGCCAAAACTTCGGGCGAGTTGCCGCACGAGTGCAGGAGTTCGGTCAGTTTCAACAATGAACTCTCCAGTGCCTCGTGCTACAAAGTGCGCAATCCTTCTGAATGCCCCACCAAGCTCATCGTCCCCACCTTCCCCCTTAGTGAATGGGCGGTCACCTGCGCTAGTGATGCCCCGTTTCGGAAGGCTTCACTCGGATTCACGGGTGCTGGTGTGCGGTTGCACCCCTCCCTGCCTGTCGCAAACTATCTAATCCCCCTGTTACTTGGAACCCCGAAGTCCTCTCAAATCCCCTATGGCTTCTCCTAGCGAAAGTTTCTCTAGCTCTCACCTCTCCTTCTGTGTTCTTTGTCTCTCTCTTTCGCCTCTTACTATTTTGGTTTTTTCTTCTCACTTTTCATTTTCAAATTTCTTGTTGTTCGAATTTGTCTTCTTCTCTCATCCTGATTCTTACTCTTCCTCTTCCTCTTCCTCTTCCTCTTCCTCTTCCTCTTCCTCTTCCTCTTCCTCTTCCTCTTCCTCTTCCTCTTCCTCTTCCTCTTCCTCTTCCTCTTCCTCTTCCTCTTCCTCTTCCTCTGCCTCTTCTTCTTCTTCTTCTTCTTCTTCTTCTTCTTCTTCTTCTTCTTCTTCTTCTTCTTCTTCTCAGGCTTTTTTTCCGTCCATCCATTCTTCATTCCATCCTTCCTTCGTGTACACACATAATCCCCCGGAGGGGCCTGCCGGGATGGCCGAATGTGAATACATGACGCGGGCAACGTCGGCTCCCCACAGCTGTACTTGGGAATTTCGGCCTTCGGGTCATGTGGAGTCATTCGACAGAACGGATCTGAAGGAACTGATCCTATGACATTCCTGCTGGGACAGGACTCCCTGTCTGCTGCCTGTGCACTGACTGGCACTCAGGATGACGACGTGCTCAAGAACGGCAAGTGCATCAGCAGTGGCTTTTGGAAGCAAGGCCGGTCTCCCTCACGGTAAACACATACCACACTTTTCAGAGCTTTTCAGGGCTTTTGCTGCTTTGCAATATTTTGGAATGTTTCATGACATCTCTGCTTCGCACCCTCCAGAGTTGTTACTGCTTTGGATTGTTTTTTGCGCCGCACACTTTAGGGCATTCTTTGGGTTCTCTCGGTTTCGGGGAGCGTTTAGAAACATGGCTGTGTGTTTATAAGTATAGCCTGGCTTCCTCTTCATGTTGGACGGCAAAAGGGCTGGGCTCTGTGGACCTTCCAACATATGGATTCATGGAACCAAGGTTCTGCCCAGTCTTTCCGTACTTCTCCATCCTGCTGTACTTGGCCTGCCGAAGGATAACAGCCAGGAAAGTACCAACTGCCAGGACCCAACATGTAAGAACCACTCGCGTTCCTCCAGCCGCTGGCCGAGGAGGAAGAACAAGGCCTTGGAATGTGCTGCCCTGCCGCAGGCACTGCAAAACGGAATCATGGCATACCCTCACACCTTATCAAGGGTGATTGAAAATCAAAGGTGAGGCATCATTTTGGTCGTCGGGGCTTGGCTCCTCCGCGACACCTTCAATCTCTGCCCGACTAGCAGCAACAAAAATTTGGTTGTTCGCTGCGGCACTTACCCATGCGACATGTTCCCATGCATTTGTGCTACCAGGCAGTGGTAAGCATCAGTTCGCAGGTGGATATGATTCGCACCTGCAAGCTCAGGGCCTTGCGCAGTCGGAGAAGCTGTTGCAATTCTTGCACAGAAGATCCTCAGACGATCCTTCTCCGCACAGTGCCAAGCTCCGGATGACTCACTCATCCCGATGGAAAAAAAGAGCAAGGACTGATGCTGTGCAAGATGCGTAAGTTGCTGGTGGGAAGAACTGGTTCAGCAACATCACCATCTGGGGCACAATAGAGAGCTCACGTACAGTCAGACCGAATACAGCACATGTGGAGGGATTCGACGGCCCAAACATTGAACACATTCAACACCGAAACAAGATGGCGGCCAAAACTTTCCCGCCGGGCCTGGTAGCCGGAATACGGCGTGTAGCCGACGATTTTCCTGAACTTGCGTGCCCATGAACTTGACTGCTGTCGAAGGCTGTTCACGAAGCTCAACTCAAGCTGCGCAAGGGAAAGCAATGTTCTCTGACGAGAGTGATTACTTGAGCCAAGCTGCACCTCAGTTTCCCGCTTAAGCATGGAATGGGAAACCAGTGGCTTCGTTTCCTTGGCGCTCCGGCATGGCTTAGGGTCCAGGGCTGTTTCGGGTTCTAGTGAGTTTTCGAAGCGTTCTGTTCAGGACCGTTCTTTAAGGAGCTTCCGCTCTCGTTGCCGACGCCAGAAACCCATAAAGGAGAGAACACAAACAGAAAGAACGGTTGCCTGCTCCAATCGCCACACTTGTCACATGCCTCCGTGTGGGCTCGGAGCTGCCCAGCAGAGGCCACCAAAAGCGGGTATGGAAATTTGCTCAGTATGCTCAGTATACTGCGAAGCTATGAAAACCTCATATCTCCCAAAAAACCTGAGTGACTGCCTTCTGCGACATTGCTAGCTAGGGGTGCGCCAGGGCCTGCAGGGAAAGCGGCCGAGTAAAATCATCAAGCCACATCAAGCCTGCGTGCTGCCTGGGTGCTCGGATGCCCTGTCCACTGAACGAATATTCCACCTGGCACTCAGATCACCCAGCTGGAGCCCAGAATGAACAGATGAACAGATGCGCCCGTGACGCTTCTGTTAGAGGCGATGCCAATCCCAACTCAGCAAAAGCGGATCCAAGCCTGACCAACAACGATGGAGGTATGGTAGGCATCCAGAGGCTCCTTGGGCATGCTACAGAGAGCAACCAAGATAACAAAAAGTATGCTTTGTAAGCTTTGCTATCTTGGCGTTCTAGAAGAACCCAGAGCAAAGAAAGCGCCCGTCTGCTTCCGCTGAGCACCCCACCGACCCTCGCAGCTTGGCGGCGGAAGGAACGTGGAACAGCACTGTGGCGGCCAGCCTTATCTCCCACAACGTGCCCCACCCTACAGAACCCTGCAGAACCCTTCTGGCCGATACACGATTCAGCTATGGAGCTGAACAGGACTGTCTCCCAAGCTGAAGGTAGCCACGGGCATCGACTGTTCGGATCCCATGGCTGGTACACTGCTACACTAGCGGTCACTTGCGAACAGTGCCTATGTGGTCCATGCAGAGGTCTCCCACGGTTTGTTTGGTACGGCAAAACACATCATGTCGTTGCAACTGCAACTAAAGCCAAAGATGCTGCAGACAGGAAGACACTGGACGCTTTCGGCAACCGTCGGCGATCAATATATCGGAAAAGGCCCTAAATGCCACCCTTTAACTGCACGCCCCTACTATCCCTTTTGCTTTATACATCCAGAGTTCTGCCTGCAACAGCAGGGAGGTGAGCCATGGCTCTGACTCGCAGTTCTTCTCTGATTTTGGTACACACTGGGCGGAACTGGGCGTGGCCGTGCGTGGCCGTGCGGCACAGCTCCTGCTGACTGCATGTGCATGCTTGCACTGCTCCTCGAAACAGTGCTTCAGGAGCATGAAAGCGGAAACGTGGGATTCACTGCGAGAGACGTGGCGGCGGCAAGAGTCAAGCACGCAAGATGGCATTGATATGCAACCAAGCCTTTACCAAGAAGTCAGGTTGGGAGGTTCACTTATGCGTGGGGGGTCAGCTCGAGAGGACGCTTCGCAGGCGCTTCGCAGACGCTTCACGAAACAAAGGGGCCACGTCAGTGCTTGGGTCCTCTGGTCGAGGCTCCAGGACCTGACACTTGATGCACAGGAGGCACCCAGAAGGCGTGTCGTAGCGCACAAAAGTGCATAAAGATTAACAATGGGACGAAGAGGAAGTAGAAGAAGACTGTTTCTGTCACTAGATAATAGCAATCATAAAGGACACAATACTTAATGAACATATTTTGTTCATCTATATTCATAGGTGCGAGTCTGGCTCCCGAGTGCCTTCAATTCAACTGGCAGCGTCTGCAGAAGAGCTCTGGCATGCTCGTCTCGCACCTCCAACAGAAGGACAGTCTGCCGCTGACCCTTACGACAACAGAGGAACCGTTGAAGAAGAAAATGAGAAAGAAACTTATGAACCTTTCCATCCTTTGGGGGTCACCCGGGCAAAGTCCACAAGCATCCACCAGTCCAACCCACCTCTGCGTAAACTCCGCTGGTTGTGAAGAGCTCGCCACCGAAACGCTCCAAGCGCCTCCGCGTACAAACTCGCACCCAGAGGATGAGGTTGTGGCGAGGTGGGGGCAGCTGCTGTCAACGCATCAACTGCTTGAACCAAGGTGCTTTAGTCGAATGGCGGCGCCAGCATCGATCACCACCTGCACACTTCCAAGGAAAGTTGCCATTGATAAATGGTCTACCTCATGTCGCTTGAAAGGCAAGCTGAGGCTAAGGAAAGCTACCAGGAATCATGCGCTTAATTAGACTGTGAGGGCACTCAATTCAATCGCACTCGCCCTGGCAGGCATCATGAGGGAACTTGTGAGTCTTCCTGTGCTGGTGCAGCGCATGCCGTTTAAGCCCACATGCGTGCCCTTAAGCCAATCTGCAAGGGGGCAAGCTGGCGGTTCTAGAAAAAAAACCTGGTATTCGTGCGTCCGCGCGATTGTATCTGCATCAGTTCAGCTTCTGGAAACTGCTACTGCAAACGCTTACAAATTACAAGTGCGCACGACAAAGAGGTTGTAGATGAAATTGAAACATTCTTGTCCTTTGAACTGTCATTGATGATGCATGTACAAAAGCACTTTCAACTTCATGTACGCAAAAAAGGCAACGCCACACCAGAATGTTTGACGCTGTTGGAGTGTAAAATTCTTTCTGCGATGCTATGCGGGACCCTGTGGTGACCCATGGCTCGCAATGTTAACTTGTCGACATGCGCTGCGGCGCTGCCCGACTGCGCATTCCCATGTTCAACTCATACGAAACAGCAGCAATGCTTTGCATTGCATTAAGCTGCAGCATTATCATCATGAGTTTAGCGTGCGATGTGCTGCATTTACCGGAGAGCCGGCCGCGGCAGGTGCCAGGAGCGGAAAACATGAGAGCCCCCCTTTGTCACCCTGCTCATGTCCTTGTCAACCTCTCACAAACTCAAGCCTTCCGGACTTCCGGACTTCCGAGTCGGACCCTGAGCTTGCGGGCCAGGCCTGTCTGTCGGCTGCACCCTGCTCCCACAACGTTGCCATGGCGAGAGTCTTATCAGGTACCTCGGTCATGCGCCAGCGGTCTTGCACCCTCAAACTGCGAACTGCACATTGCACGGGAACACTTTGTATCCCTGCCTGAGGCAACTGCGCAGTACTACGAAGATGGTGAGGAAACTGGACAGTGTGGTGTGTTGTCGTGCTGGTCGAGTTTCGATGAAGCTGCTGCAAGGCTGCCTGTGAAGTGTGTGCAAATATGATGGGTTCGGTTCGAGCCACATCTTTCTGCGGTCATGGCTCCGACGAATTAATGCTGCGCAAGTCCATTCGGCACGGTGGCACTTGCAAACCAGACAGGGCCAAGATGTTCGCAGCAGCACGCGTCCATGCTCCGACGATGCCACAAGGGCACAGATTGAAGCTGCCAGTATGCTGTATGTACAAATGCGTGCACCTCTCTTGGCCTCCGGGGCTGCCTGGGCATCTCTCAATGAGGCAAGATGCGACAGTTCCGTGATGCAGAAATGCACAAATGCACAACTACAATCACATAGAATCACCTAGAGCCGTTCGCAGAAGAATCCCTTCAGCGCCGAGCTTTGGTCCCGGGAGACGACCTCGCTAGTCGTCCTATAGAGCAGCGCGCACTTTCGTGTAGAAGCTTTGAAGCGTCAGTTGGTATCCGTTGGTGCACGTCCCAGCCTCAGGTTCGTGGCCACTGCGCGGTATGGAGCTTAGAACCAGAAGCGCCTCTGCTAGCGAGCATGCTGAAGAGCAAGCGCAAAACCTGTGTCTACATGCGCTATACTTGCCCGGATGGCGGCCAATGTGACAAGTCTTGGCACAAGGAAAGCAAGAGATGCCCCTGTTTTTCTTTCGCACACTTTTTCTGCAAAGTCGCTTGGAGTATGAGACATCTGTCAGAGGGCAGCGTGCTTGGAGTGCGCATACACAGCTTCAAATCGTCCACGACCGTTGCTCTGTGGCTGACAGCCGTGTGAGCTCCTTGAGATGCCGATGCTGCGAGGCTGCTCTTCTCAAGCGGGTGGAAGGCAGATGTGAAGGATGTGAAGGCAAAGCAAACGCTCAGCGCAGTGGCTTCTTGATCCACGTGGTGGACACTGAAGAAGGAGCCCAGGAGTCACAGGTGGAAAATAGCGCACACGTTCCATCTTGCTCCGTAGCAGTCCAACTTGCAAAAGCACAACTGGCTTCCTTGACGCAGTGCATCTTGCAGGAGTATTCCGTTTTCGCAGCGTTGTCATGCGGAATGGCTTCACCTTTCTCGCACTTGCCCTGTCCCCTGTCAGCAGAATATGGGATGAATCCGTATGAAGCTTTGCATGCAAGGAAGGACTTGTATCGGTAGGCCTTGCCATCCATTCCCCAGTCAGGCTTGCCACCAAATTGCTGCTCGTAAGTCTTGCAAGGCTCAACTGGGCTCTTCGTGCTGGCCCCATTTCCAATTTGCACCCAGGAATTCTCCTGCGCACCTTGGCTCCAAGCACATGCCGAAGACTTCCTAAGCCACAGCATCATCCCACACCTCCATCAGAGCGAATCTGAGCTCCGGACCGGCGTAGGGCACCCACTGGTCACCTGGGGCCACACGCGGGCTCACGGTGAAGACCCCATCGCTGTTGGGCTTGCAGTAGTCATCAAAGCGTGCCAGCCTCAGAGAAACACGCTACCTCTTGCTCAGGGTTGCCACACTGCGTGGACCGCTCAAAACAGTCCGAGACGTCCCAATCTCAGGTAAGTCACTTCATTTTGCGCTTCGCACAAAAGCTTACGGCTTCGACGAAGCTCTTCCGATTCCAGCTGTCTTCGTGCGAATACCACACCATTGCCTAGCAAGGCTGCCGCAAGCAGATTCAGAAATAATGCACGGGCAAAATAACAATACCGATATGCCGCTATCACCCTCAGACCCCACCACTCTGCCTTGGGTAGTGCTAGATCGCCAGCCAAACGGCCGATGAGTGGTGAACTCAGAGTCTGAGAGTACACCGCACTTTCCTGACAAGTTGGGGGCCGTTGACGAATGTTGACAATACCTGGAACGGAGCCGTCCAAGCGGTAACACACGGCACTCAGTCCTTCATGGCTCCTGTCCACTTGCTCGCAGATTTGTAAGCACCAATTGCAAATTTGGCAGCATCGTCCGGTGAGAATGCAGACCTCGGCTACTGGTAGCTGCCAACCTTTCTGACCGGGCGCTTGAATCGTGGAATAGCTTATTGGCACCCTGTCAAGAGCCCATGGGCCTCATCCACTAACATGTGTCCCTATTCTCTGCTTCAAGGGCTGTGTGCATGCACACAAAAACCTCACGCATCTCTGGACCAGCCCAAGCCACGCAAAGCTACAAGCCTTGACCTCAAGAGCATTGAGATAGATCCTTGTCTCATTCCTAGGCTGGCCGGGGCTAGCTCAGATTCCGTGAGCCAGGCTACCTCAGTCTGCTGGACTGCAGCTCACCCGCCAAGGCTCTGCTCCATGTCATACATGAAAGCCACGTGCTGCCATTCGCCAGTAACGCTCCTCTCCGTTGGTGCGGTCTGGCAAGCTTGGCCACCTTCATTTCAAGAAGAGTACAACTTGAAATATGCAGCCGTCACTAACTCACAGTTCATGTGGCGACAGGACTAAGCGATTCAGTCGCGATGCCAAACTGGAAGCTGAATGTTGAGTCCTGTCAGGCAGCGCACAACTGGCAAAGCTCACAGCAAGGCGCAGCACCTGGGCTATGGCCTGCACTGTAGGCAAGGATGTTGCAAGGAGATTGCAATGATGCTGCATTGTCAAGTCAAGTCGAAGCAAACCAAAGCGAAGCAACACATCGGGGTCCGGATTCACGACGGCTCGGAGATCCTGGTCCACGTTCGAGGAATCCTGCCAAGCTGCTGCCAAGCTGACGCAGGGGACGCGACACGCTGGCGGCTGGCCAAGCAAAGCATGCATGGAAACAGCTCACAAGCCCGGTCATGGCTGGAGCTGAAGAGTGTCCTGAGACAATCAGCAGAACAGCTGAAGTCTGACGTGTATACTTTGGCATCTCACATCAAACCGATGCTGCAAAGAAGCTGTGGCCCACCGCCGGCATCTCTTCGGATTGTGGCTGTCAGAGTAAAGGAAGTGTCCTGAGGCCGCGGCGTTCACAAAGTGACACAGTGCCAGCTAGAAGCAAGCGGCGCGCTTGTGAACAAAAAAATTTGTTGCAGGACTCCTTCACGAGCCCTTCTGAAAGGCCAGCTTGAATGGCAAAGCGCTTGCTGTCCACCTCTCCCTTCTCTGACCAGATGGGCCTTCCGAGACAAAAAGGAAACAACGGAAAAAGCTAAAAGGGGGCAAAGGCTTGTGAGCTTGTGCAATTGATAGAAGAATTGTACATTGCTGGTATGTTTTGCGCTGGCCAGCACATCGGCCCGGGCGTAGGGCAGCCCTCTGGCCTGGCGACTGTGCAGAGCAGCAGGCTGTCCCGATTCGTCTCGGGGGTCCAGTCGTCGCTGTAGCTCGGGCTGATTTTGTAGTGCCCTCCGTAGGGCCCATCGTCACATCTCCAAGAGCCCACCAGCCCAACGCAGTGTCCTTCAGGGTTTCAGACACGTCCACTTCTCGAGTGCTACATTGCCAAGAAGCCCGTCAGGGTCCTTTGCAAACACAGCTGATCTGTGTCCCGCCGTAAGTTTTGACCTTAAATCAGATGACCCTCCGACGAATGCTGCATGCTATGAAGAACCTCAAGATAGCACAACATAGCGACTTCAACACTCATCACCGTTCTTCGGCTAGGCAGGCTGCTGTGGCAGTTCCATCATCGTTGCGGAACATTACATTGTGATTGTTTGGCCCGACCTGACAGCTGATGCAATGGCCAGGCTGACGGCAGTGCTCAGAGAGCGAGACATACTTATGCAATCGAGACACGAAGAGCGAAACGCAAGGAGCTGTGTCACACCTGAGCGAGCGTTCATCCAGAGCGCAAACGCTTCCGGAAGCAAAGGAAGCAAAAGAAGCAAAGGAAGCAAAAGGAAGCAAAAGGAAGTAAAAGGAAGCAAAAGGAAGCAAAAGGAAGCAAAAGGAAGCAAAAGGAAGCAAAAGGAAGCAAAGGAACCAAAAGAAGCACAAAGGAAGCAAAGGTATGCCAGGAGCCCAACTGTGCAGACTGCTCCGGCTGGCATGTCTTGGCTTTTGCGCGGAGGTAGTTCTGCACCTCGCTCATCTCAGAGCCTCGGCATGACGAGAGCGCCCACATTCCCCCGGTTCACTACTGTTAGGCTCTGCCAGGGGGCGCGTCAAGACGCGATCCCAGGTCATGACTTCAGCCACAGCCCAGTCCGAGTGCTCCTCGGCATCTTTTTTGGACGAAGACGGAAGCTGAGAAAGTGCTGGAAACATAGAAACGCATCTAGGCTGTTTGGTTGAGATCACGACAGGGCATGCAGGGCATGCAGGGCATGCGGCCATGGCGCATCCTCAGGACCGTCGTTGACACCGATGGCAGTGTTTCCACCACCTCCTGCAAACTTGGCAGGAACCTCGACACCTCAGCAAAAGCAGGTGCTGGGTGCTGGCATGCTCGCACGTAAGCCGACTTCACCATAGATCCTCTGAGCTGGGTGCCATCCAGGAAGACGTACTCATGCTGGTTTGAGGCGCAAAGAGCCTGAAATCAAGATGGTGAAACGGCCCCAAAAGAAATTCCTGCCAACATGTCTGGTGGAAGTCCCCCGCACTCAGTCAGAGCAAGCAGCGATCCAGTTTCGCGTGCCCGTCAGATTCTTCTCATCTCGCACCCACTGGCCGCCATAGAAGACACTACCAGCTTGCCCATCGGCATGTCCATGCCAGAAGCTCCTTGGCTCTCAAGTGCCCTCCACGATGAAGAAATCTACTTCGCACTTCGCACTGCAGGTCCAGCCATGTCTCTCTCCACGAAGAATCTTGCCCTGAGCAATGCCCGTGTAGGCCGACAAGGAACACATCCTCGGGAAGTTAGGAAGATTCAGGAGTTCCACAGGCCGCTGGCAGGAGGCCCGGCAGGAGGCCCGAGGGTGCCGCAACCATGCGAAACTTCTACCAATGCTCGACTACACTGTTGTGACAACTTCTCCCAAAGTGGTACGACATGCGCTACGTGCTAGAAACTTTACCACACATGACGTGAACAGCGTGACCTTGCCATGAGATGCAGCACGGCTTCGTGAAGGTGGCCGGGACTATGTCTCCAAAAGTGAAGCTCGACTTGCCTTGTTTGCCAACTTCAGCGATGTGTGAAGTCAGGAGCTTCTGGTATGAGACACCGAAGCACAATCGCGGAATCCGAGCTGCTGTCGCCATAAATGTGCTTCAGCTCTGCCCCATAGTGACGGGTTGCTGCGCGAACCAGACCACCCTTTGCTTCTGCCTCATTCTCAACCCGCATCGGCATCGATTGGCGGCATTGGGTACATGATCATATTGATTGCTGCTGAGCATTGCATGCTGGTGGCAGTGAAAGGTCCGACGCTGCTCTTCCAGCTGGGTCCTGCATCTTCACTCCTGCAAAACAGGGGGGGGGGGGGGGGGGCGCCCGTGGAGACTAAGCTAACTTCCTGCCCATCCAACTCAGAGCTTCCCAACCTGTCCTAAACCATGAAACCATCCCTTCGGATGGCACGATTGCTGCAGGAAGCGCTGCATCTTGGAGATTTTTGACTGCGTCGCCGGCACCATCCTGCGCTGAATCTGAGGCTCGGCAGCGATGCGTTTTAGTGACGACGGCAAGTGCAAATAGCAGGCGGCGCAGGCGGCGGCCCCGGCCTGCAATTCCTCCACATCCAAGTCTTCGTCTTCGTACAACTCAAAGGTAACCGCCTACGTGCAAAGGCGTTGAGAAGCTGCTGGAACAAAACATAGTATTTAGTAGTATTTAATAGTATTTAATAGTATTTAATAGTATTTAATAGTATTTAATAGTATTTAATAGTATTTAATAGTATTTAATAGTATTTAATAGTATTTAATAGTATGTAATAGTATGTAATAGTATTTAATAGTCTTTAATAGTATTTAATAGTATTTAATAGTATTTAATAGTATTAAATATTTGTACCTGCGACAGAATCGCTACTGGTGCCTTGCTGGACTTGCCGGTGCAACCTGACACTGGAATGTAGCTGGTCTGGCCAGATTTGGCCTCAGCACAATCTGCTGGGATGGCAGAAAAAGTGACCTCCGTGCTTTTTGCACTACTTCTGATTCCGTTGGGCTTTCACCGAAACCGTGAATAAGATTGTGGCTGAGCCAGTTGGGCTGCATGTTCCAGGAAATCCAGTACCTCATGCTCTTGAGCTTCCCCGTCAACACTGGAATTGGCGTCACCACGCAGAGATGGAATCCAAACACAACAGCTTCTTGCAGATCTTGCGCAGAAACTCAGATGTGGCAAGGAGCCGTCGAAGGCGCAGTACTCCCAGGCATTGTTGTCGGCAAGAGCATCCTGCAAAAGCATGTCTAACAATGTAAGAGCAAGTCCCTGAGTGGGATGTTTCGCAACATGGCTGACAGCGCTCAGTGCTGAGAGCTCCATGCCGAAAGAAGCTCCTGAAGGTCGCTGTAGAGCTTGAAGTCTACCATGTAGGCATTCGCCTCGTCAGCCTTGCTGTGATGCTACGCACCGCTGGGCTATAAAAGAACCTGGGAAGGAGCCTGGCCTGCCAATCGCACGCCAAGGCCTTGTAAGGTTCATAGGTGTCTAAGTTCGTCATCCGCCGATAGAAGATGTACCTCTCAGGAAGAAAGAGGGAAACCCAGAGTCTCAGCCGGAAGCGCTGCAGTGGTGGCAGTGGTGGCCCTCAGAAAACCGAACTCTCATCCCCTGAATCCCCTCTGAAGGCTCAAGAGGCACCTGTGGCTCTTCGAGCATTCCTGGCACTTTCGCAGAATGATGTGGTACCTTGCCGGAGTTGCTACCCGTCCATGCCCATTTAAGGAAAACAGGGTGCAACGCTGGAGAATCTAGGCGACACGTGACATAGCCTGAGGCAGAAAAACACACTCCCAGACGGAATCTCCAGCTTCCACGCCTGCTCACTTGGAAGCGACGATTGAACTCGGACTCCTCGAGGCTTGTGGTTTTTCCATCTTGATCGACCGACAAGCCAAGCCTGACGCAGCATGCGGCAGCATGTGGCAGCATGCAGCTTCAGCAGCAGGATCTTACGCTGAATCGGCCCAGGGGTCACTTGGTTGCCTGAATTTCTGCGGGACGATGGGAAGGAGCATGTAGAATGCTGTAGCGCGCCCACCTGCAGACATCATGATGCTGTGACAGTTCGTCTGGCGGCTGGCAATGACCAGTAACCAGTCTCCCACCTTTGTCTGTCGTGCACTTTCCTGTCGCATCTCCTGCACATCTGGAAACGTTCTCGACTCTTGTCGACACACCAAACCGCTTCAATGCGCAGGAAATCCTTCGTTGACAGGAATGCTATCCCACTGCTCGCCAAGGGCTGCTTGAGGACCGCTCTCGAAAGGAAAGCCCCTGCCACACAGCGGCTCAGGCAATGCGAAACACAACAAAGGTCAACAGCACGACAACAGCCTGAAGCTGTCAAGCGGAGCGAAGTTACATGAAGACCACTTGTGCTCGTCCTGCGGTGTGCACGACAGGTATTTGAATGAAAAATGCATCTTGTCACCCTGCAAGGCAGGGAACAAAAACCAAAGAAGGGTCCGCAAAAGCATCGTTGAGATTGCTGAAGAGCTTGAAGTCTTTGCCCTCGACGTTGTCAGGATCTTCGTTCCACGCGCAGGACAACCTCGAGTGCTTGTCACAGCTGGCATGCAAGCAAAGCCCTTGTGGAAACTGGCAATTATATAATCTGAGCGATACTCATCTCCCGATTCCAGTTCAACCGACTCTGACTGTGACCGTCTCAGGTCTGGCAAAGTAGCGATTCGTATGGCGAGTACTCCTTCAAAGGAGTGAAGCGACGGTACACGATCTCCTTGGATCACCCCGGCATGGCCACAGACCAAGGCTCTGGGCAGATAGCGATGTCAGTTGGCTCACTGCATTAAACACAAAGCCTAGTCACTGTGTGAGTCGCAGCGCACGAGGGACATATACGCTTCACAACAGGATACTTGTTGTACGGCTGCAGGAGCTCGTTGAACTCCTTCACAGGCACGGACTCTAGTTCCGGTCATTTCTTGTCACCTATTCCAGGTGTCCTCAGTTAACGCTTTAAGGATGGCACATTCAAACCAAAGAAAAACAGAAACACCCCGAGATCTCCGGAGCGTTCGTGGATTCTTCTTACAGGAAGTTATGAATCACTTACGACACCTGAAGGAGCTGCCAGTCCTCTTTGCCGATTGTGTAGACCTCGCCTTTGGCTGTCTTCTCCAACACTTTGACGAACACAAACCCTGGCTCCTGGCCAGTCGGCTCACGATGCAGCGGCAATACAAACAACTCGATGGTGCAACAGCGAGCTGGCAACCCCTGCGCGCCAGATGCAAGACTGTGTCCAGCTGCAAGCCTGCCAAGGATTCGCACTGTGAACTCATCTTCATGGCAACATGCCAGTCACCCAGGAACCACGTATCTGCTGATCAACAGACATGTCGCGTCGGGTGTCGGGAGCATCAATGGCCTCCCACACCACGCATGTTGGCAGCTTGGCAAGCGGTAGCCGACAGCAGATTCAGCCGTGGTGCCGGAACCTGGCAGCACGCTTCTTCGCTCTGGCACTTGGATTTAGAAAAAATCGCCTGGGCATAACATGATAAAAAATCACCACTCTAGTAGGCAGGTCAGCCCACATGACATGAAACAGGACAACTGGAAAACACAAGGCGGGCGGGCCGAGGAGGCCGCAGCACTGGAGGACATGTTCTTGAAGCCAACAGCCATCACATTCTGATTGCACATGATCACGTCCAGTGGACTAAGGTTCTTGTCTTTCAACCTGAGGGAGAAAACCCCCAACTGCCCGTACAGCTTGTACTTCTTGCCCTTGATCTTGCAGGTTGCGTTCTTGTCGCTTATCAGCTTGATCTGCGAGATTCCAAAGGGCATCTGGGTCTCACCTTGGAAGACTCCAGGCGGCATGAAGGTGATTGCACTCGACGTGGAGGCTATGGCACTGTCATAGGAGACGCCTCCCAAGAAGGTCTGCTCCTCCATTGCGGTGAACTTGCACATCGGCTCCTCCTGGGGACCATCAAAGGCCTTCTTGCAGATCTTCCGGTGGTCTGCTGTCTGCCAGGAATCCAGCTCTTCGTAGCCCTTCATGGCGATGGAGTTGAAGCGTACCTTGCCAGTCTCCAGATCCTTGAAGCAGCTTGAAGGCGAACCCTGGTTGTTCGGATCTTGTTCATCCCATGCACTTGGAGGAGGTATGCCAGGCATATCGCCCTCCGCCGCTGTTTGGCAGTCCTCCTTGGACTCGACTGCTCGGTAGTTGTCAGGGCACACATTGCTACCCTTGGTCGCTAGCTTGTACAGTTCATCCCCACCGCCACAGTAGCACATCTTCACGGTCTCGTCGTTCGGCATCTCCTGGCCGCAGTCCAGTGGGACGCTTTCACTGGCAGGAACGCAGATTGTGCTGGCAGCATCATTGGAATCTGGCCGGAATGTTGCCGCCAGCGTGCCGTTCTGAGCCTCCTCAACGGTAGAGCAGGCTGCCCCGACGACACCGACAGCTATCTTCATTTTGTTCTCGGAGCTGATCAGAGAGCTGTCTGTCGAACACACCAGGGAAAGTGCACTGCAGGTGGCATTGCAGGTCTTCTTGCTCTGATCGACACGGTACCATCCTCCAGGCGTCACACTCGTGCTGAAAACATCTTCCGGTCAAATATGAATATCTAGCGGCTAATCGGTGTGTCCAAGGTCACCACAACCCTCCGCTCACACCACAAGCCTCCACTCTGCAAACTCTTTAAACCAAAATCATCCGACATGCCAACGGCAGACCTAACTCTGTGAAGTCCTGCCGGCGACTGCGTCTCTGTCTGCAAAAGAGAAGCAGCACCTTTGATCTTGGTGCAAGCATCTGTCGCCCCGGCATCGACACCTGGGCGCAGGCACCAGACCTTCTAACGGCTTCATAACAAACACAGCAGTGAAGGGTCTGTTTGGGTCACACAAGCGGTCTGAGACCAGTGCTTTTGAGCGTTTCAGTCGTGACGGAGCAAACTCGCCATTCCCGACCGTCACAAAAAGCATCGTGCAAGGAAAGGCAGCTCGGCGAGTCATCACACCTCGCTCGCTCTACCCAACAGGTTGCTCACGATTTGCTGCACTACGGCGAAGACATCTTCGACCTAAAATGACCGACCACAGAAAGAAAGCCTACAGAATTCGTCCGCGGAACTTCTTTACAGCAGCAGCCAGACTTCCCTTCCAGGCTTCACACTTGGACAACGCATCGTTGCTTACCTGAGGACCGTTTGTGTAGTGAGAGGTTCGGGCATCATCATGCATCCTCCAGCTCACGGTGCTTGCCGTGTAGGTATGTGAGGTTCCATCAGAGCACTCCTGCTTGATGGTAGTAGCCGTTCCTTTCAGGTTTGTAACGTACCAGTCCTGAGCACAAGGTCCGTAGATGCTTTTGGCAGCCGGGGCCACAGGAGTGTTGTACGTCTGGTCCGGGCCACTCATCGTCATTAGGAAGTTTCGGGTTCCCATCAACAGGACCCTCGAAAACTCGAAGTCGCCCTCCACGTAGCTTGCTGAGCCATGGTCCAGCTCCAGGTCTTTCCAATCCGTTTCGTTGATCGAGATACGGATCGTCACATTGTCGTCAAGAGCAAAGAAGGAGAGCATCTTTGGACCCTTGTGATTGCCCATCACCACGAAAGCCTTCCCCCGGAGGGAGGAGTGAGCCCACGGAGCAAGCTCGTCAGGGTTCCGCTGGCTGACGACAGGCAGCGCAGTGTCGAGGACTTTGTACGTTCCGAAGGAGGAGTCAGGAAGCAGATATTGGCGCTTGTCCTGCATAGGCGAACCAAAAACAGACACAACAGACACACAAACCAAAAAGCTAAGAACAAGAGAGACTAAGCGATTCGGACATTGAAGAGGTGTGTGGCACAGAGTGGCTTAGTCAGCCCAGGGGCTGTTGCATCGCCGGCATCTGCGTAGTGGTTCCAACCTTCGCCGCTTTTCGAAGAGAGCTGGACTTGTACCCGGCGCCCGTTGCAGGACCCATCTGCTTTGCTGATTTTCAAGTCGACATCGACTCCACCGGCAAGCTTTGCGGTCAGATAATCGGATGCTTGCTTCATGTCTGCCACAGACAGGACTCTGTTCCACACAATGACCTCCATGACTGCCCACTTGGAAACCTCCTCCCACAGCTTTCCGTGGTTGATGACAAGATTCTGCTTTAGCTTCACGTTCGTAGGCTGGCACGAATCTTGCGAAACCGCCTCTCCGTTCACAAGCGCATCACGCGAGTCATCGCTGGTTGAACAGACCACTACCCAGTCTTCCAGCACTGCAGCTGAAGGCATGTCTTGCCCTGCGCAGCTGACGCCGGATTTCCCGGACGCTTGCCCGTGTAGCCAGTTACCCTCAGAACCCTGAAGAATTCGGCCGTGAGGCTTGCCAGTGTAACGTGTTATTGAGCAAATGCTGTAGGTCTCTTCCAGCACCTGCCACAACGAAGAATTCAAGGAAGGTAAGGGAAGACTGGGTAGCTGCTTGATTAAGCTACAACACGGTGGGAGGAACACGTGGCACAACTTTGACCCACCTCTCCAAAGTCGAAGCGGGTCTTCTCATCGCCACGGAGGAAGCGCACACCACGTTTGGTGCCATGACCGATCTCGAGACTGGTGTCAGCCTTGCGACTGACCACCTGTCCTTGGTGAGATCCGACCGTGCTTGGCCATGGCACTGCCGCATCCTCTGCACGAAACCATGCCACACACCCGTCGAGGGCAACGGGCGGCTTCTCATCGTGCGCCTGTTCGTAGTCATCTGAATTCATGACAGGATCCTCTTGCAGAAGGGAGCTGCAACAGGCACTCGAACATGTCTTTGCTGGCGCATCCCGCGGTAAGTCGCCATAATCCACTACTCCACCACTGGCTCCTCCTTGCTGGAGGACCGCCAAGGGCTCGCAAGTGCTCAGCTGGGGCAGTGATGGCAAAGAAAGCATGAAAGCCTCTACTTCTGACTCCTCATCCAGCTTGTGGCAAGACTTCAAGGCATCATCTGCAGTCTCACCCGGTTGCCCCATCGCAGTCAACACGCACGCAACGGAGGACTTGGCCTTTCTAAGGCCAAAATACTCTCGGCCCTGCGCTTCGATGGTATCCAGCGCAGTGTTCATTGCATCCAAGACCTTTGCCTCACAAGCCAGACGATGATCGCACGGCTGCCGCCGGTGATGCACCTGTGCGCACATTGCAGAATCCAACTCGTCCTGGATTCGATTGCATGCGCTTCGCTGCTGCTTGTAGTCCGCTGCAAGCCGTGGGCAGTCCGTATGTCCTTGCAAGAGCCTTCGGCCCTCCAGGTGCAAAGTATCTGCGCTACACTTCTCGGTGAAAGCTGACCACGCGGCCGCCTCCGCTTGACGACCTGACCGAAAAAAAACGTCCCACAAAACACGTGTCCAAAAAAAAACAAAAACGTTTCGTGGAAGGGGCACCTTGGGCCCCCTTGGGCCCCTGGGCTTGGGGTACATGGAACTGAGCCGACGGCAGGCTTTGTGCTGAGATCTCATGCCGGTCGTGTCCAGTAACACCACAGGCGCTCCAGCATGGCACGCCTCTAAAGACATGAAGATCAGCGAATCGGCTTCTCTCAGCGCTTGCCAAGTCTTGCATGAGTCTAAGCGCTGTCGACTTTCGTTCAGTCCAGGTGGCCTTTAACCGCTGATCCAGAGCTTCCAGCTCGCTCCGGGCCGCTGCGCGACTCTCCTCAGGGACTCTCCGCTGCATTTCTCAGCTCAGAAAGGTACCAAAAGTGTACCAAATGTGGCCGTGAGCAGGGGAGTGGACCGGGTGAGGGATCAAAACTCAAGCAGGGATCAATCCAGGACAAACAAACAAACCTGCCAAATAGGGATCAACAGCTCGCTCTTCTGACATTGGCCTTCGCGACTTTGTTTCGATTGCTTGGTGTTCCGCCCTACCCCCCCCGTTATGCTGAGCTGAAGGTGTTGCTCCTGTTACGCTGGCGAGTTCTGAGTCTGGGGCCTAGAGCCCCAGCATAGATCAGCATAGTAGCCTACAGGGTTTTAGGGTCTGAGGGCTAAGGGTTTGAGATTGAGGGCTCTAGACCCTAGGGTATAAATCATATTAAATCCAGTTTAGAGGCGGCTTGTCTTTGAGTTGTGTGGGGGAGGGGGGGGGGCCTCCAGGGCAGGCGTGTTTTGGAGGACAACCCCAAGCCTTAAAAAACCCTTTTGGAATGCTCCTAGGACGGTCAAGGATTAAACCAACAAAAGACAAAAGCGGGCGGGTTGGGGGCACAGCCCCCATAGCACAATTCTCAGCTGTGCCTGTACATTGCTTAGGCCTTCCTCAACTTGTCCTTCCTTCCCTCCGTTCTTTTACATATATATATATATATGCTTATATGCATATTCTGCTGTATTGGCCCTTGTTGAGGTCGACACAGAGACAGAGAATAGTTGAGTGGGCTAATTGGGATTCAGGGCTGAACTGGCAATGTTGCAAATGGGGGGTGAGTCTGCGCTCCCCAGCCCCCGTGCTATCAAGCCATTAGAAGCCTGTGAATTGGCAGACATGCTGGGTTTACCCGATTTGCAGTCAGAAACACTGTGAGTCACCGAATATCAAGCCTGCAAGAATGGGACTGCTACATGTATGTGTTTTGCAGCCTGCGAAGAAGCAGAAAGCCTGTAACTTACCATGCTTGGAAGCTGCGAAAAAGAAGAAGGCTGCAAAGTTAGAGCATTTGGAGCCAGCGAACAAGACCCTGTCGAATCAAGCCTTCCTTGCTTGTGTGGTTCCTCCCTCCCTCCTCCCTGCCCTCCCGCTTCCCTGTCCCTCATCTCCCCTTCACTCCGCTTCACTCCCCTTCCCTCCCCTTCCCTCCCCTCTCCTCCCCTTCCTCTCCCTCCCTCCTCCTTTCCCTTTCCTTTCCTTCTTCCTTCCTTACTTCTTGGTGTTTGATCCCTATTTGATGGTGCTGATCCCTTTTTGATTCTTGTTGATCCCCCATCCTGCAAAACGATACGTCAGAAGCTGCTGGCAAGGTGCCTCAAACTCGAGGTGAGAAAGCTCGACGTCAAGGGCCGTCTTGATCTGACCTAGCAGATCCTGGCGTGCGCCGAGAAGTCCATAAAGCACGGAGCAGAACCTGCAGTGCACAAAGTCTGCGTTTACAGCGGAGGCCACCTTGATCTGCGCTCCCTCGCGAGAGGCTTTCTGCACGGATCGCTCAATCGTCTCGACCCCGGCGAGGACTGGATCCTATGCAGCAAGAAGCAGTTTCTTGCGAGAACAGGCTCAGCATGGCTCAGCATGAGCTCGGCGTGCAGCATCCAAAGCCTGCACCAGTCCGCCTGTTAGAGAGTCTTGCAACTGCGAGACGACCGCGAAAGCAGCCTTGGCAGCCTCAACACATGGGCCATACTGACATGGCAGGGAACCTGTGAGAGGCAATCGTCGCACCCGGGCATGTGCATGAGTAGCCTCGTCAAACTTACCAGTTGCCAGCGGAGCAAAGCTCAATAGCAGCCAGGAAGGCCTGGGCAGCTCCACAGCCATCACTACAACTTACTACTTGCATGCCACTGCATTTTTGTCACCGTCTCATGGCAAATTGCGCCCTCGCCTTCTGAATGCGGCCATGAACGGAGCCATGCGCCGTTACGGAAAACTGCGGTCCTGCAGGGACTGAACTACATCACGTCTCATCACCTCACCCATCTCACACTTCCCAGTGGCCTGGCAGAGGCGACAATATGGATAAACGAGTATTGATGCAGGTCACCTGAGCCACGCAACCTGTTGCAACTCAACTCACCCCGTGATGGTCAGCTGCATGTTGGGTCATTGGGCATGTGTTTTTTCTTTTGTCGGGGTGCTTGTTTCTTGATTATGGGTCGGCGACGGTTGTCATTTGTCTTCTGCCGGTTCTTTTTCGGGTCTTCCCCCCCCCCATCCTTGTATGAGGGTTCTTAATTCTATTCTGCGGGTTCTTTTTCTTAGCCTGGGCAGTCTGGATTGTCAGGTGCAGGCTAAACTGAAGAGTTTCTACGACCCTAGACCTTGGCGAATGGTAGGAATGGTGGACAAGTGTACTGGTTGGCTGAGGGGTAACGGGTAGCGGTGGGAATGCTGGGCAATTGGTGCAGCTGTCGGCAATATTGGTTGGAAATGACGGGAATGGCAGGCAATGGTGGGAATGGTGTCGATGGGTACTGGTGTTGCAGAGCGGGTAGCAGGATAGCAACTAACGGTGGGTAAGGGTGGGACTGGCGGGGAATAATGGCGGTATGGTGGGAATGGTAGGGAATGGCAAGCAACAGTGGGGAATGGTGGGGAATGGTGGGGAATGGTGGGGAATGGTGGGGAATGGTGGGGAATGGTGGAGAATGGTGGGGAATGGTGGGGAATGGTAGGGAATGGTGGGGAATGGTGGGGAATGATGGGGAATGGTGGGGAATGGTGGGGAATGGTGGGGAATGGTGGGGAATGGTGGGGAATGGTGGGGAATGGTGGGGAATGGTGGGGAATGGTGGAGAATGGTGGGGAATGGGGAATGGGCAAATGTTGGGTGGGAATGGTGTTGAGTGGAAATGTTGGGGCATGGTTGGGATGGGGAGTGGTGGATGGTGAGGTGGGTCGACGTCAGGGTGCGCGAAAAAGTGGTGGGAGAATTAACTGCCAAACCTGCCTGAGGGATAAGAATCCAAACAACCAAAAAAAACCGCAGAAGAAAACCCGGAAAACCCTGCCAAATCCTTGACCAGCCCAGTGGAAGATAAGAAAAAAAACACACCATCAGAATAAAATAAATGCGCAGCCTTCGATCATGTTGACTCTGAGGACCGGGCGACAACTGAATGGAGCCACAGCCCCCGCCCGCCATGCGGAGATTTGAGCTGCATGGCTCTTGTCATATCAAGCGCTTGATGCATGTCTGGAAGCCCCTGTGGCTTACTAGTGACCCTCACCTGAGCTGACCAGGCAAATACTTGGTGATGTGCGTCCGGTGCCTGAATAAGGCGGTCCCTTTGCGTGACGGACGTCTCCACAAAGCACCACATCCTCTCCTTCACCGGGCAGCTGCACAGGGTCGGATGCTTTAGCCACTTGAACCAAAGCTGGACATCCATGCCATCTTTTGCTCCTTGGGAACATGGGTCAGCCACCGATTTGGGGAGAACAAAACTTCGGACTCTGGTCTTTCTTTGCATAAGGACTTGTTGCGAAGGGCAGTGGAGTTAAATGTGTTGAATCTTTCGCAGACAGATGCGGGAAGACCAATCAAGACTACATATTTGAAAAGGAACACTCTACTGAAACGTGGCTTTCCTAAGTTCGGAAAATGCATGGAGATTCCTGAACTGTGGACGCTGTGGGTTTCTTTTGAGGAGTGGACAGCCCGTCCATGCCACTAGCACCCTTCAAAACCGCACCGGCCTACAGCTAGCTGGCAATTTCATCAGAACTTTGCCAGGAGCCATCAAGCTTCAAGTGGCGCAATGGCGCATGGCTTGATTCAACTGTGCTAGTGTGCCAGTCCCAGCTCCTTGCCATTGACGCGACACCTGCACCAAAGCAAGCGTGCTCATCGCTGACAAGCTGGGGGTCAATTTGGATCAAGGCATGACAGCTGGGTACTGCAAAATGCTGAGAACACGGAAACAAGGGAAGAATCGCAGAGCAGCTCGTGGGCACCTTATGGCCACACAGTGCTCTGCCTCGCCATGCCTGGGTCAGAAGTGGTCTTCAAACGAGACAAGCAAACGACCTCTGAACCATTTGAAATTTGAAAGGGCTCCCAACTCCAGTTCCAGAAATCCTCTCTGCTCGCTGATTGCCTTTTCCTCCTTTGATGATCAAGCATGGCGAAGCACCGAAGCTGCGCAGGTCAGGCATGCTCTGGCTCCTTCGCCGGACGCACCGTCACTGATTTCAGCAGCGTCTCCTGACACATAAGCTTCCAAGTCCGGGAACCCTAAACCCTAAGCCCTAAGCCCTAAACCCTAAACCCTAATCCCTAAACCCACATGCTCACCACGCATCTGCTTTTTAGGGAGTTTTCCTGCAGAGATGGGGGCCTGGTCCTTGGCATGTTGCGCACGCTCCCCGACTTGCTCCACCTGCCCAAAGAGAGGCGCCATGTACGCGCTATCAGACGAATAAGTAGGATCCCCTTATAGTAAGGACCCCAACAAGGTACCTCCCTAATTTCGGAAACCCCATTTTAGAGCTGCAGTTCTGGTCTCAACTGTCCCAAGCCTTCAGGCTCAAAACCTGGAGGGGAGGATTCAGGCGCAAGAAGGCTGGTGCCTTGTGCCTGCCATCACGTGGAGGCACCGGCACACCAAACTTGCCCCAGAAAACAGACCAGGGCTTCCCAGCTGCGGCGTGCAGGAAGAGCGTGGGCCTGCCTGACAAAGCACTGGCAGTTCGTTCAACATACAATTACGGGGAGCAGCCCCTGGAACGAATGAGGTGCTTTCCTAGATTTTTGAAGTGATAAAACGTGGTGTCCGAAGCAAGAAGATGTGCAGATAGGGCAAACAGCTTGGCAATGTCTATCTCAGAGATTGCAAAGATGAACCGGCCACTCACGAAGCAGATGACACAGAAATGGCAAACAGATGACAGAACGGAGCATGCCCAGGCCTCTCGCGCTGGTGGCCTCGGCCACAAACTCCGTGCAACTGCGCGTCACGTAGGCCTTGGCCTCGCTCTCTCGGGGGGGACTCACTTGGGGGGTTTATTTAGGGATTTGCTGCTGTTCCTTTTTTTTTTTTGGGGGGGGGGGGGGGGGGGGGGGGGGGGGGGGGGGGGTGGCAGGGCGATTCTTAAGCAAATAGTAGTGCAGAAAACATGCAGAGGGGGCACTTTCCTTTCAGTTGCTGTTGTGGGATCTTAACACGCCCCTCTTTGTTTGCATCTTGTTTGTGCAGTTTGGCAGCCCAGCAGCCTGCTCCACTTCGGTCTCCATCAGAGGCCTCTGCATGGCCAGCAGCTAAGACCCATGAGTGAACACCTGGTGGGCCCCGTGTGATCTCTGTGTTGCCTCGTAATCTGCAGCTTCGCAAGGTGCGCACGAAGCCGCACCACCACCTGCCGAAGCTGGTGGTCTAAGAGAGCAACCGTGAACGTAGACCATGAAAACTATGAAAACCTTAAACCAAGAAACCAAGTTCACACCTTCTCGGAGCAAGTGCTGGACGCTTCCTCGAGGAGCCTTCAATGGCTGCAGGTCTCGAGCAATCCGTACTCACATATGGCGAACCTTCGCCAATGTCTAGGAAAGCAAGCTTCGTAGGCAACCGGGAAGAGCGGGCCTGGTACAAGCCTCAACATCCCAAAAAGCAGCCTTGGAGGACATCCACTTCGAGACCTGACCAGGACTTCACATGCTGCATTCTTCTGCTTCGTTCTTCTCTGCCAATGAACTGCGCCTCAGATTAAACAATGGAGAACCCCGTCACATCACACCACATCACATCACAGGACTCCGAAATGCTCCAGCATAGAGGAACCATCCGCTGCAAAGCCTCAACTAAAGGAAGACCATTTTTTACAATCAAGAAAAAGAGAAATAACTGAGCATGCTACAAAAACAGATGAAAACATCAAGATTTCACGTTCGTGCCTGTAAGGCCGGCCTACCTTGAAACCTGTACCATGGCGTTGCTGTGTAATAGCAGTCCTTGAATTTCCTTGAGACATCAAAACGGGAGAGGCTTCCTGAAGTGCGGTAGTTCCCCAGGAAACCGGTCTGGCCCAACATCAACCGACATGAGCACAAACGTTTCTCAAATGGTTTGTGCAGCGAGGGCCTTGAGGTCAGTCTCGTTTCTCGTTCGCTCTGCCAAGTGCTCCGCCAGCAGCAACTCCGCCTTATGCTGCGAAAAACCAAACGTGGGCTGCTCAAAGATCTCAAAGGCAAGTGCGCCTGCTTGATCTTCTTGAGATCCACACCACACCGCTGAGCCTCGACGAGGAAAGACAAGAAAATTGCGCTCCAGTAGGGCTGGCAGCTGGGACCCTGGGATTATCAGCAGGACAGCCAGTTGAGGTCGGGCACGGCGCCAATTGCTTCTTTCACGGCCAAGGTCTTTCCTTGGTGGGATCCGATGTTCACGCCAGTGATTTTTGGGCCATTCTGCTTGCCTGCCGTTGTTTGCACGCACACTCCTGAACCTAACAGCGCTCGATGCTGCAGCTCAGGTGCGCAATCTCATCGACACGAACACTTTATATAAGAGTGAATGCCGGCGATTTTGCTCACGAACTACAAGTGCAGGAGTTGAAGCAGAGGAAGAGGAAATATCGATGCACAGGAGAATGAGCGAAGCGTTCCATGATTGTGGTGATAGGTGTGGCGGACTGTGTTCTGCGCTCGCCCAGCGAGCGCGATGATGCTGAATGACTGTTGCAGGTGTTTGCTGCCGGTGTGTTTGTCTCCACTCTGGCATCCAAACTATCCTGCTAATCCTGCACCCTGCGGCCCTTTGGTTCTCGAGCCTTTCGCGAGCAGACCCTGGCCGCTCACCCATACAAGAAGCAATGCAACCCCACAAAATCCAGCTGCATGTGCGCAACACGTGACGATGGTGTTGGAAATGGCAACGCACAGTAATACTCAAGTCATGCAGGACGACAAAAACGGTACCGCAAAGCCTCAATCTACCCATGAAAGCTCAAAAGGCTGCACAGCTCAGGAGCCGGCCCTGCCCAAGCAACCTGAGTTCAGGTTCGTGTTTTGCACATGAGAGATAGGTTTCACCCTGGAATGCGTTCATCAGCGGTTCTTTTTGAAGTTGATAGGTCTCGCTATGCCAGGGCTGGAAGCGGCTTAAGCGGCTTTCGTTGGACTCGTACTGCTGTTGCTCAGTCAATCTTCGGCTATGGGCTGCCGGCCTCCCGGTGTCTTCAAGCGCCTGAAGCACGTCCTGTCTTGCGAGGGGTCACGGTGGAACGACATCGTGGTGTCGGCAGGGTCCTTCTTGGCCAAGTCGTCATCCGACTCACCGACCTCAAAGGCTTGTGAGGCTTGCAAGGCTTGGAATGACAAAGGACCAAAAGGAACCGGAGAGAACCGAAGAGAACCGAAGAGAACGGAAGCAACACGTGACAAAGGGATTCTGTGTCCGCGCACATCGGACTCGAGCGCCACTTGGGACCTGCACCAGGGACTGCGCCCGCTTTCCGAAGTTCTTAGCCGATCCCAAGGTCCTACAGGTCCTACATGTTTCTACGTGCATTTCTGCATGTACTTCTACATGATACATTGTATGTCAAGGTGCAGCGATTGGCCTGCTGTCGTTGGAGCTGGCTCCGAGATCTGGCTCGTCCTGCCCAGCCCGACATGCCCGCGACAGCTCGAGTAACCTTCCTGCAAATCTTGCAAATCTTGCTGCTTTGTCACATCTTTGAGCGGTACGCGATTGAGTCCTCCAAATCTTCCGGGCGAATGCCAACGGCTCCTCATGGGAGGATGTGCTCTCAAGGAATTCTCTGAAAATGAGCGTGACAAGGCGGACCTTTGACATCGACCTTTCTTCTGATATCCGTGCACCCACAGAGTGCACCTGGCCGGTGGATAGTACTGTTAAGTCGGGGGAATCCCTGGCCGAGGGTACACTGTTGTTAAGTCGAATCTGGCGATCATGCCGACGGTATACAGCTTTTGCCCGATCCATGATCATGAAGCTGTTCCGTGAAACTTCGATTGAGGGCATCATACTGCCCTGCCGGCTCAGAGGAAGTCTGCGTTTGAAGGGAACGCCCATCTCGATACCTGGCGCGTGATACTCAGCCGGCTGTGCCCTGCAATGAGGTCCCATCAGCTCAACACGTTTTTGCCGAGGGGTGGCATCGTCTTCTTCCTTTGCGAGATGCTTCCTGGTAGCTTGCAAAGTCTGCATGGTCTGCTGTCCCTGGCAAACTTCACCTACGAAAACGATACCACATCCGGCAAGCAACAGGCACCCCTAACCCATGTTATGGCCTGCCGTCAGAAGATCTAAGGTGATCTGAGATATCAAGAGATGTTACAGTGTAGCATGGTTTTGGAGACAACGCTTCACTCGTGAACTGAAAGCGACTGCCGAGCAGAAACGCAGGAACTAGGAGGTTCGTCATGTCGGACAATGCTGTTCAGTCATATTCGGGGGGGGGGATTCAAAGGAAGCAGAAGAGACACACACACACGCACACACACAGTTTCGACGGAAGCGCCCAGAACCTACGAGCGATGAGGCCACAGTTCAACCAAGTGGCACTGGATGTGTGTTGCGGTAGCTGTTCCCCTTCGTGTACCTTTCAGGTGTCGGCTGTGCGGTCTGTTCATATGAGCTACCTCACGCCTCAAACTCTTGATTCGGAAGTGAATGTGCCTGTCGATGTTGGCTTCTTGCGCTTTGGCGATGCCGTCGAAGGACTGGACGGCTGCACCGCGTAGCCGCGTGAGGGCCTCTGCATGATCTGCAGCCACTGCACCACTCCCTGCCTACATGGTTTCACATCAATAGCTCTGTGAGTTCTGTGAATTGATGACACAGATGCCACCCAAGGCATGTCCCGACATGTCCCGACAGAACTTGGAGAATCTGAGGCTCGCGACACGGAAAACCGACCTGCACGGCAACCATCCATGGCCTACAAATTCTAGACCTCTGTGGCAGCGACTGCAGTGCTCTTAGCTCTATCTTGTTTTGGGATGACGACCCGGTTCCCGGCCTCTGTGTTTCAGCCACCTCTGCCTTCTCAATCTGATCGACCATCCTTGAGTCTCGAAAGTTCACAGCAAGACTTATGGGATCAGATGGGTGCCGAGACCAGCAGCCCAGCTATTGAGTTCCCGACTTGTTGCTCTCCTGTGAGAACTGCCGACATGGCAGATGCACACTGCAAACACGACAAACACATACGAACGTTACGAAAGCACACGACGAACACACGCTGCAAGTTGGGAGAAGGAGAGAGCAGAACTTTGCACAGATGCCGACTGAATGAGCCCCCATGTTGTTCCCCGAAGGGTCTCCTTGATGGAGGCCTCCGTCAAGCTCTGCGCTTTGCTTTCACGGCCGAAAGGTTCCAGGTCTTCATAGGGAACAGCCGCAGCGGCCTCCATCGTTCCCCCATCGTTCCCCATCGTTCCCACTGTGCACCGCACCTTGCCCTTTCCCCGGCTTTCCCCGGCCTTGGGCTTCTCGTGAAGAGCACTACGAGTATGCTCCACCTGCCCAGATCTTCGCAGTCTCTTCCCACGCGAAATGCATCCCAGAGCATCACAAGTGGCCTTCAAGCTCTGGGCGGAGGCATGTGTATCCTGAAGGTTAGTTGCCAAGAACAGCTAGTGAGAAGATCGCTAGCAAGGCGCTTTGCAAAGATGCACAAGGAGATCGTAGCAATCCAAGCACTGTGCACCTGAAGCCCAATCAAGGATATCTGTGGCATGGCTCCTCTGTGGCAGCTGCCCGCGCAACAGCCGCAAGCAATAGCAGGATCCGCAGGCCAGCTGGCTTCATTGCCTGAGCAGAGCATCTCTGCTGGACAATTCGGCCTATGGAGCCAACTGGACCGACATGGTCCACACCGATGCTTGGGCTGCGCTGAACCACTTGTAGTCAACAGCCGGCTGAATAAGCCACACTGCGCAGGATGGGTTTCAGCTGCAAGATGATAAGGACGATTCTTTTGCGACGATAAGGTTGTTGGACAGCAACGGGAGTTTTATGCGGGGTGTTCACGCCAGTCTACGTGAGCTCTTGGGCCACTTACTTAGTCGGCCTACTTCGTTGACTTGATGGGTCCTGGCTGCCAGCTTGCTCTGCATTGCGCAGAGCACGTAAAGTTAATGCAAAGCCTTGGATTCAGCTTGCAGATCATGTAGGTAGTCATCCAAACCTCATCGTCAAATTTCAGACCTTATCGTTTTCCGATGGATCGAACAAATAAGCAGGCCTTCACTGGCGACTGCATGCGAGAATCCTCGTCCAATCGGGTTGTCAAAAGATGCAGGACTTCCGCATGTGCTCAGTGCATTTCACTGCATTTCGCTGCATTTCAGCTGCGCTTCAGTTGCATTCGGCTTCTCCACATGGCCTCCGGTCCGGAAGTTGTTAAGCTGTTTACCTTCATCTGCCCATGTCCCGCAACCTACAGGGCCTTGGCCTAGAAACAGGGCTGATGTTTTGAAAACATGCATCACTTGCTCATGCTGGGTTCCGGCGTATCATTTGCAAGTCAACATTGAGATCTTGGAGCACGGACGCTTCCCTTTGCTGCGTGGCAACTCGAGATGATTGGAGCGCGCCCGCAATCTATGCTAGTTGGCTGCTTTGGCATTTACAATATTTCACAGCATAAGGAAGGCAGGGCTGCTCTCTCTGGTTGGCCCAGCTGGGCGCGAAGTGATTAGTGGTGAGTGCTTGGGGGGGAAGGGTGGACAAATTTGGCTCTGTTTATTCAGATTGATTTGTCATTTATCATGCAAATTGCCACAAGAAGGCTTGGCCAAAGCTGCTTATGTTGGGAGAGAGATGAAAGAACCCGCTTTGACTTTGACCGGCAAGGCCAAAAGCACGTCGAATAGCAGGTGGCAGTTTTGCAAAGGCGGCATGTCTCGGTGCTGGAGAAGAGCACTGAGAAGAAACTGATTGAAGCTGACATCCCTTCACAGGGCCTCCAGTTGCACTGAGGAGGGACGCACAGCCCCTGGAGCCGAAGCGGCTACGGAGACCCGTTTCGAGCATCTCCCCCCCCCCCACACTGGCCCGCCTGCAAGAAAGACCGTCGGCATCGTTTGGCAAACAAAGCAACGCAACATCATGCAACAAGCAAAGCACACGAAAAGCATGCGAGAAGCACCCATGGTCAACGCAGCTTGCCATGTCTGCTGGAATCGGGTCTGATGCGGAAACGTGTCCACCAATGCTACGGGTTAGAAGGTGCAGCTTCACAAGAGATGCGGGGGCAGAGAATCGTCCTGCAATGCACGTAGCATTTATGTTCCTGAGAGTCAGCTTTGTGTATTCGCTAGGCATAATCGGAAGGCCACGCCGTTTCGCGCGGCCTTGAGCCCTGCCTCAAATCAGAAGCACCATGGAGACATGTGCACAGAGCAGCTCGGTGCTGAAGGCAACGCTTGACGTCACTGCTTCTTACTACCCCATACACTTTACACACCTGCTTCCATGGTCAGCACAGGGGTTGCGAGGTGGAAGTCTTCAGTACGAGGGCAGGAAATTGCGTCTTCGCAAGCCGGTCTTCGTCGAGGTATGCCAGGTCGCACTTTGGCGGACTCGAAGGACATGAGGCCCTGCGCGCAATCTCCCATGAATCAATCCTGTGATTCCGGTGGCAGTGCCCTGGCGACTCTGGTGTTCTGAAGTTGTGTTTGACTGGCACACAGCTCCACGCTGCTGGCATCAGAGTTCCGGCCGCACGTTCCTGCACACATTGACTATCTGGAGGCTCACTAGACATTGAAACGAAACCTGAAGCATCCCGAAGCGGTTTGTAGAGGCAGCCTGGTCGAGCAGAGCGTTGTGCCGAAATGTGCCCAAGCTGTGGATGTGGAAACATTCAAGCCCGAGTTTGCTCATCGTCCGGACATTCCAACCAATTTGCAAGACTTCTGGCATTACCACTGATGTCGAAAATCGAAGAAATGCTCGGAGCATGCTCTTGAGTGCTCCTCAAGATAAGTCCTCAAGGTCTGTCTGTAGCACCTTCCGTGCCCCTTGCAGTGTCAATCCAGCTACCTTCCAGCAAAGGGCTCGCGTATCTGTCAACGCATGCTCCCGGCAGCAATGGCTTGCTGAAGCTTCCTTCTCGTCCATGCTCTGGTCATCGACGGCTCCGGTCCTAACTGGTGCCCGGGATTGACAAAGCATGTCCGAAACGCGTTCTAGGACCCACCCATCAAGCTGTCAATGCTACCAGCGCATCCGATGGCCAGAGCTTCCACAGCCCAACGATGATTACATCCGTGCTACCAGCGCATCTGTTGGCCAAAGCATACATTCCCGAAACGTGTCTCCGAGCTCCCATTCTGGGGCTCCCAGAAGGTTTCTCTTTACACTCACACTCCTTGCTAAAGACCACTCAAAGTCCATAAACTGTTTACGGCAAGGTGAATTCCGAGGTGCCCTCCGAGACCCATGCTGCTATCCACATCCTCCACGAGCTTGTGCCAAGGGATCCGTGATGACCCGTGGCAAAGTCCACCTTCATTGAGTCATCTGAGCAGCTGCACCGCGGGCACACCAATGCCCCGAAGGCGACCATACAAGCAGACGCCTAGAATATGGTTGGACACAGAATGGCTCCAGAGCCAGTGAAGCTGTGCCAAACTTGTGAGCGAGCCAATGTAGAGTTGAGCAGCTCTCGACCAGGCCGTCATTCTTGTACCTGTCTGGCAGTGCAATCCCTCTGACATTGCTGCAACACCGTCTTCCAGACTTGACTTCGCAGCCTTTTTGCGCACACAATCTGAGATACCAGTGACAGGGTCTGTGCTTCTTGCGAACACTGTCCTGCTCTTCCACCGCAGGCGGCGTATCATTTGCGCTTCCAAGCAACATACAGCTCACGGTCTCCTGGCCGAAAGGACAGCGGCCAACAGCAGCATTGCGGTTGCAACAGAAGCCTAGCATCAACAACAGCTACCACGGGACCGGTCAACATCAGCACAAAAACTAATGCACTAAGCTCAAGAAAAGTGCACATTGCTCGTTGCACATGTTTACAGAATCCCACAGATTGCTTTGGGTAGCAGAGCACGCGATCCTTCACGACGCAGATTGGCAGGCTCACATTCCTCGCCATACACCATGCAGGTGAGGCCGTTGAAAGCCTGATCCACACATGGTAGCACTGCCACCTCTTGCTCGCAGTCGACTTCTCATGTCGTAAGGCCGCTGCCGCAATTACACAGCCAGCAGTCTCATCGCAGAGTTGAAGGCACTGGTTGAGCCCCAAGTGGGCTGACGCCACCGCATCAGCCTCGTTCCCGGCTGAAAACACGGGGCAAGGCAAGCCATCGCAAGAACTAAGCCTTACATCACAAAGGGAATAGATTCGGAGAGATTGCATGTTCTCTAGCAGCAACACGGCATAGGAATGACACTATATGACACTCAACGTCCTGCCGCGGAGCCTGTGCGAAGTCAGCCTGTGTGATGAAGCCCTGCCGGCAAGTACCTCCTTCTGGAAGTTGCTGCCAATGTCGGCTTTGCCGTTCTTCCACGTTCAGACTTCGCCCTTGCCGTGCCTGACGTCGTGCTTGAAACGCTTGGATGCTCGCTTCCAGAGGCCTCTCTCCGAGCAAGCGCAGCAGAACGCTGCTGTAGAAAGCCAGAGCGTGTGTTCGGACTCTTTGGCTCGATGTCCTCATCTTCATACTCGCCTCACGGAGCAGTGGCCCCTGCATCAAGCCTCCAATAGATACGACGGAGTCGAAGTGAAGAACATGAGGCAGCCGGTAGTAGTCAGTGGCCCCAATCCATCCCAAAGCTCCTCCTTCCAGTGCAGCGGCCAAGGTGGATTGGTTCATCCAAGGTGCTTGCCGCCCTTGCTTGGTCTGCCCCAAGGCCGCCAAACACATGGGAGCGCCACCTGCTACCCGGTCATACTCCAAGGAACCCCACCGCACAGCAGGGAGCCACTTGGCCATGAGCCTCTGGCTCGGCAACAACAGCGGCATGGCCTCAGTCTGGGGACATGGAGAAGGGACGAGGAGGGAGCATTGAAAGATAAAGCGAAAAAGAGGTTTGCTTCTCTTTGAACTGGGCCCTCTGAAGTGGCATCAGCTAAGCAGCAGCGTGGTATAACTCGAAGAACGACATCACCTGTGAAATCAAAATATCACACACGCACATTCCAACGCGGATGTCTGCAGCGCAACGTCTGAGCTGCACACATCATTGTCCCACGGAATTAACAGGGCAGCATCATAGGACAGAATTGCACCTGGCCACTTTACAGTACCAGTCAGCAAAAGCGACACCAATTCAGATGAGCGGCTCAAAGGAAGATAATGTGCCTGAAAAGCCTTGCGGTGCGATTGGTGCAGCCAATCAGCAAACGGCTCTGTAACTTGCCACAAGCGAATTCGTGGGCATACCACCAGCAAGCGCACACAACATGTGGTACCACCGTCAACCTGCCCATTGACTAAACCACGCCCAGTAAATGCACGTGCGACTCAGCTGACTAAAAGATGAACCCTTCAGCGGTGTCAATCTGAACCCCCTTATCCTAATGGACAGTGTCAGCCCAATGGCCGGAACTGCTCTCCGAAAGCACCCAAAGCATCGACAATTCCATGCATGCCAAGCAGCCACCAAAGTTTCTCCAGGAACGACGTAGCGGAGCAGACCCCGAAACGCAGGGCCGAAGGCAGCACGACCTCTGTAACCAACGGGCCTAGTCACCATGACTACAAAGCGAGGTTCTTGCAGTAAACAGCTCCTGCATGATGTAACACGCCTTCCCACATGTCTGCTGAAGCGACTTTCTGTATCAACTGCTGTTAACTTGCAACGGAGGCATGAAATCGGAGAGCCGCATTGCGATTCGACTGCGCTTAGCCAAACAGTTGTTCTGCGCGTGTCTTTCACAAGCTTCTGCTCGCAATGGCAACCGCCCTTGCTCTCTTGCAGTGCTCCCGCTGCACTGTCCTCCAGGATTTCAGGCTCGTGTTCTTACTGTTGAAACATGTTGAAACCTTCCACAAGAATTCTGACCATTGTCTCTCACGTGGCGATGTCTTGCGACTCACTTGCGAGTCCAGCTTCATGCGATAGGCCCTCAATGGCTCTCAATGCCTCTTTCTTGCTTGGTGCGCCTTGACAGGCGCAGAGGCCAAAAGGGTCTGTGGCAGGAAGTGGCGAGAGCAAACTTAAGCGAACAGCTGTTGATGTGATGATTGAAGATTGAGTACTCCCAGAACCAGCGAACGTATCTTAAACTTCCAGACCTTTCGGAGCTGAAGCTTCTGGGTGCCAAGCGCCAGAGCTCTGGACGAAGTGCAATCGCACGGGGATGCAGGGCGAAATGTCCTGTCAGCAACTGCAAATGCACCGAGGCGCATGGCGGCCCTTTGCACAACATTGTCTCTCCTGAATGAGCTTTCTTCTGGTATAAAGAGAGCGGAGGAACCACTGGTACCCAGATGTCAGTGGCGTGGTGGAACTGAGCCGCCCTTACCAAGTCTGTCACAACCTGACGGTGGAAAGTCAGCCAAGGTAACCATGAACTGCTTATGACATGTTGAAAGAACTGATGGACAACTACCCTACCAGGCCCAAGGATCCGGCGAATGCCGCTCTTGCAGTCTCGTCACCTTTTCGGATCACGGGGGACTAAGCTATGCAGCCATATGCAGCCTCGTGCATGTCCTGTCTATCATGCGGACCCTGACCAGCCTGAACCCACCAAAGCTGCCGAGCGGGCAGATTGCAACAATCCCCCAAGCTTCTCCGCGGATGCTAAGTAGGTCAAGGCCAAACCTCGAGCAGAACATCAGGACTTGCGCTGCATGTTCCCAAAGTGATTTAATTAGCTGAGGCTTCAGCCAGAATATACCAGGAAGGGAGTATGCAGGACTTGCTGCATCATATAGCAGAGAATGTACGGACCGGTGCAAACTTGCAGATCCGCATGAAGCAAGAACATGTCCGCCATCACGATGCCATGAAGCTCCTTGCGCAAGACCTGGGACTGGCGTGTGGCACTGTGGCATCAGTATCGACGTGGCTACTGCAATGAAGTTCCGCCTCCTCAGCGTACTCAAGCTCATCAAACTCAGCCCAGTTCATCATGCGGCTCAGAATTTGGTCGAATATTTGGTCGTTCTCACACTGCCCAAGCCTCGCAGTGGCGATTTGCGGTGCATCATGATATAGAGCAGAGATGCGCAGTAGTACATGTCTCTACAGGCTGGGGGCCAGACACCTCACAGCGAAAACTGCAATGATGGGAGGCCGCATGATGCTTCGGGCAGCTCAATCCAAAATACCGATGCTCAGATCGCCCATCCAAAGCAGAGTGTAGTGCAGTTGCAATGTCCGCGCAGAGGCTTGGATGAGCTCCGACAACCGCCAACTTCCACATCCCAAGCAGTAATGAGCTTGATGCTTTCTCCACCGCCTCTGTGGCCAAAAACATCTCGCCACGAACTGTCCAAGGCACCAGGCTCTCGACAACTGCCCTGGCATGGGCAGAGCCCATGTTGTGACCCAAGGTGCAGCCATCGTGACAGGAGCTCTTCAACATCTGCAAAGAAATGATGTCCTCGGCTAAGAGTGTTCGTACAGTTAGCATGCACTAGGAACAATGTTGAGGGAGAGTGACAAATGGATACTTCCGGATCCCTTTTTTAAGCCACGCTGCCAACGATGACAAGGGCCACTGGGAGTCCTCAAGGAAGTCCAGTGCGGCAGCGCCACCACCGAGCAGGCGCAGCGCCATCTCCATGTAATGCCGACCCACTTGCCCTTGCGGACCATCCCCGGGCTGTCCGGGAGGGTCTTTCGAATCTGTGCTGTGCCTTGAGAGCACGGAGAGAGCCGCCACCAGTCCGTAGTGGCAGTGTCGCGAGTTCGAGACCAAGTCCGGAGCGGCCGCACCGATTAGAACCTGCAAAGGCAAGGAAGTGGATGCAGCAACATGCGAAGTCTCAACGGCACCTGATGGAACAGCGCCGATGCAGCAGCCAGGGTGTCTGGAGATGTTCGAACGGCGTCCCACAAGGCTTTCGCCATGGCCTGCAACTCACCATGCACATGTGTTCAACTTGCACTCCAGCAACCAGAATCTGCCTGGAGTTCCCAGTTTATCGGGAAGCCGGACGCTGCATTTATTTGAAAAGCTCGCCGAAAGTCGTTCCATGCCTCAACATAGTTTTGGAAGCTGGCCCTTGCGCCAGCACCGCCAATGCAGCATGATGCGCCATAATGCCACGCACACACTATCTATCTATCTATCTATCTATCTATATATATATATACATATATATATATATATATCCGCCTACCCCAGCGGTAGCAGGGCGGCGTCAGTGAAGACCCCCCACCGCCCTCACCGCCCTCACCCGCTCTCACAGCATGCTGCTCATGACACCTTGAATTGGAGTGTTTTTGCATTGTTTGGCTTCAGTGCATGCCCAAACCCCGCCACCCATCGCCCTCACCCATGACGCCTTGAATTGGACCTTTGACCCCCCCCCACCCCATCCATTCAGGTGGTTTAAAGGGTCCAGTGCATGCCCGACCACCCCCCCCCCCCCACCCCCCCCACCCCCCCCACCCCCCCCCCCCCCCCCCCCCCCCCCCACACCCCCCCCAACCCCCCCCCCCCCACCCCCCCCCCCCCCCCCCCACACCCCCCCCCCCCCCCCTCCCCCACCCCCCCCACCCCCCCCCCCACCCCCCATCACCGCCCTCACCGCTCTCATCGCTTCTTCATCTCTATGCCCCCCAGTCCACCCCTGCCTTCCGCCCCCAACTCCCTCATCCGACACCAACCCTCTGCCGTCACCCCCCACCCCCGCCCCCCTTTCCACCGCCACCCACCCCCACCCCCCCCGCCCCCGCCCCCCCCGCCTGCCCGCGCTCCACCCTGCCTTCCGCCCCAATGCGACTGTCTTGGGTCTGGGGTCGGCGGCACTGGCGGTGGCCATACATATATATATATATATATACATGCACAAAGGCACTTCACAGGCACAGGTCTTTGTTGCCACCCGAGGTGCCCCATGTTCTTCCGACGAGCAGTCCAGCATCGTGCCCACAGCACCCAGTCTCCCCTCGAACCCATCGATGGAGTGTGTGATGTGTGTGGGTGTGTAATGGGAGGTGGATCCCTCGGTCGTGGGAACCGTATGCGCCGTAAGAACTGTCTGAGCATCCAGGCAAGTCTTGAGGGTGTCCTTCCAAAAGGCCAAGGCCATCTGGCGAAGCTGTGCCAGGTGCTCCGCCATCCCTCGGCTGATCGCATGCAGCTCCGCAGCGTCCGCGGAGGCGAGCTGGATCAGCTCCGGGATGCTGCCGAACTGCTGAACCTCAACAGCCAGGAAGCCCCCCCCAAGAACCCCAGGAACGACTTCCCTCCGAGCTTCTGGCGTGAGGTCGGGAGTGAAGCTCCGACGTTTGCTGCCAGAACAGAAACGTAAAGAGGTCGGTCCGGCCACCATCTCCGGAGAGAAAGGGAGGGTACCTTAGCTGCAGAATCCAGAAGTGTGAGTAGGCTCAGTTACTCAACACATCGAACATCTAAAGCTCTCTATGGGCGAGCGGCTTGAACTTGCGGTGTACTTCAGACACATCTGGAAGCACAAAGGCTGGTTGGAGAAATCCAAAAGGAGCAGCCTCGGCAGCAGAAAGTCAGAACACAGACCACTGCTAATTTGTCAGTGCCACAGGCACACAAAGCTTAGCGCACGACACGTCGCAAGCGGTAAAGCCATGATGGGTGAGGAACGAAAATTGGGACACCTCTCAGCCGCCGACTAAATATGACAACATCTTGGCAAGCTGCTTCAATGGTGCGCTGAGCGAGGCCGTGGCCTAGTGCGTAGACTTCGATGAAAGCGAAGACCTGCCAACGGCTCTGTCCACATGCCTTCAACCCACAACAACTACATCATGGCCACACATCTTAGGTCCGTCTTTGACTTAGCGCACCAACCCCAAACAACAACGCAACCTCATGATCCTAGGCAAAGACGTTGGGAAAGTGACAGGAATACGTTCTGTAATAATCCCCTCTCTCCGTGTCGTGGGTGGACAATCACTGATGTTAATCACATGATATTGATGACACTGATGCACAATACCGAGGCGAGAGCTTCTGAAGTGTCATGTCCCCTCCCTTTTCATGTCCCCTCCCTTGCCTGAAGCCTTGTGACCCGTTCAACCAGTTCTGATGCCACAGAGTCTCCACTTTATGGCAGCGTGATGCTTTGGTGAATTGCGCATTTGCTTCCAAACGTTCACACTGCCCTCGCAACAAGTGACAAGACGGGCCACCGTCAAGTCATTGGGGACGAGGACCGTGGCACGATAGTTGGCAATCTCATGAGGCCTCAAGAACAAATTCATATTGAGCGGATTACAAGCAGGCCAAGCCGGTCACTTTGTTTTACGTAACGTAATGGGCATTGAGTGTCGGTAGCTCGTCAGGTCCGAATGATGCGGCCATCACGAAGGTGTAGTTGTGGCCTCATGGGCACCCCGCGGCAGGCCCGGATGCGGTGCCATTCAGAAATTCATGATCCACGGCACCAATCGAAGCATCTGAGTCTCAAAGCTGACTTCGTTGAGCCGCAAGTACGCTTCCAGGACATCCATGAAGTACTGCCCCGGGAGCCGGTGCCAGTAGCGTGCTCGCAGGACCAACACCTCCAGAGTTCACGTCTTCAGGCGCAAGCGTCAACATGCGTCAACTCTATCTCTGTGCACGAGGGGCCGGGCAACGCTGCGCCTCCTTCCAATGATCTGCTTCTTGGGCTTTCCAGGCCACACTCGGCGGGAGGTAGTGTGCCACACGCTCGACAACCTTTCTCCATGTGCGCTCATGAGCGCAAAACTCACTCAGAAAGTGTTGAAAGAAAGGCGAGGCATCAGGCAAAGTCTGCGAGAGATGAAAGAACTCCAACAAGAACTCCGAAGCAGAGAGAGGGGGGGAGAGTCAGAGACATCACCGAGCGCTTTCCAAGAGAGCCATTGCTGGCACTGTGAGACCCTTTGAGGCCCTTTGAGACTCTTTGGCAGACGGGGGGCCGGAAGGCTGACACCGGTCTGGTAGAGGCACTGCGAAGCTGCAAAAACATTGCAGGCCACCACCACTCGCCTCGCAAAACATGTATAACAAAACACGCAACAAAAATGGGAACGACAAGATACCACAGTGACACAAAGTCACTCTACAGATACTTTTGAAGGTTCTCTGCCTTGCTTCGGTTGCTATCCTCAGCCCTCTTAGGCTCAGGCCTGGGATTTTGCGTCATGGCGCGGACCTGGGATGGCCAGGGGCTGCTAAGGATCGGCAGGCTGGGGCTAACTGCGAGGCCCGCGCGTGTCCCAAGAGCATTGCTCGAAAGTCTTTGCCTGGGGGAGCTCCCCAAAGCAACTGGGAGCAGACCGGCACCACCTCAGCTGGCTCTCAACGATTCTTCCCGACTCTGTTCGAGGACGCCACTTTGTAGATTGTAGAGCAACGTAGAGCAACGTAGAGCAATGCAGAGCAATGCAGGGTAATGCAGGGCAACGCCGAACAACGCAGAGAAATGCGGAACATTGCCGAGGCATGTATGCCAAAATAGAAAGCCTTCAGTGCCGGACCGCCTGAAGGGAAAAGGCGGCTGGGGCACACATTCCTGCCTCCGAAACGCCAGTTTGTGCCTGCAACACCTCGCTGGCAGACTCCAGGCCACCCGAACCTCTGCCAGCACCTACGTCAGAGAGTGGCACGAAACCCAGACAACTTGGCGTAGCTAAGCTGTAAACATCTCCTTGTCAAAGAAACTATAGGCTGCGACAAGCTGTGTGACGTTCACCAGGCGACAGTGGCTAGCACGTGAGCGGAGAAGGCGCAGCAGGTCGCCCGAGACACCCGCATGAAATGCGGGTGCCACACCTTGCTGACAGCGATGCCCCACATCAGACCGTAGCTTACCTTGTCGATGAACGCCTCGGGCAGAGCGCTCGCGAAAGTCACCCCGGCGATGATCTGTGTGGGCACCTCCTACACGTAAGTGTATGCCCCCCGCTGGTCGAAAGTTCATTCTGGTGGCAGAACTGGGCGCCGCCCAGGGCATATGGGAACGGGGCTTGGCCGATAATGCGGCCTTTGGGGGGCACACCCTGGAAAGCGTGGGGCCGCCAGCTCAGTGGCAATGCGGCCAGCGTAAGCTGCAGGATGGGCGCCCATCAGTCGGGCAGCTCGGGGGGAGCCGGCTTTGGGAAGGCACAGCTCAGCAGGACAGCTAACCGTTTCTAAGGCGAGAAAAGGAGCACACTAGATATCCTTCAAAACGCCTTTGGCGAAGGCTTAGGTGGGCGATGCCTCAGATCGCAGGGCAATGCAGGGCAATGCAAAAGCAATGCAAAAGCAATGCAGAGCAATGCAGGGCAAAGCAGAGCAATGCAGAGCAATCTGCCATCACCATCCCAGCGGCAAGTGGAGTCGAAGGAGCGAGGACGTCAATCAAGTAGCACAGCGACATCGGGCCGGAGCCTCCAGTGAACGGATCGCGGATCGCACCCGTCTCTCAGTATCTGCTTTCAGCTTTCAGTCTTCGTTTCCATCCCTTCACCCATTTTCATTCTCGTTCTCTGCTCTGGGGCTCCCGCAGACGACGATGTCGGCGTTGCTGATGGAAGGCTCCCGTCGCCACAGGCTGCTGAGCTCACTCAAAGCCTCCGGCACTGACCAGGGAACTTCCTCCTGCACAGGGAGCGGTTGAAACATGTTGAAGCCCTCATGGAAGAGGATGCTGCATGCGTCCAGTGGCAACTATTGCAACACCTCGATTCTGGGGCTCTTACATAGAAGCCAGAGCTGTTGAACATGCGCTTCAGGAACTCGGCCTTAAGTCTTTAAGAACATTCTCTTCAGATACGGCGCATGCAGCCTTGCCAAGGATGGATCGACTTCGTCATCTTCGCATGGTGAACCCAACATCTGGCCTTGAAAGCGAACTATGCATCTTCCCTGTAGAAAGACAAGCAACCATAGGCCAGCGGCACTTGTGAATGCAGGCGTGCTTCAGCATCTTGTCGTCAGGCCGCCCATAGCAGGGGTGTCCAGCATAGAACACACCCAGCCCGCCTACTCACATCAGTTGCCCATCGCAGCTCGACAGCACCCGCACACCCACCTTCCATGCCAGATCGTCGCGCAGCTTCGCCTCCGAAGTTAAAGCGTCGAAAGACATGCGATGGCCTGTGCTCACTGAGGTATGGCATGGTATGACTAAGGTATGGACGAAGGGCCGCGACCGGCTCCAAAGTGCTTGCAACGTGAAGGCCAAGCGCCGCGATGCTGAAGGGCTTTACGCGCCATGCATTGGCGACGGCTCTCTGCGGGGAGTATAGAAGCTCCTGCCAAACAGGCTTCAAGAAAGTGGGAGACACTTGCATGCCAGTTGCATGCCCTTCACGGACCTGTGCAGCAGCCCTTGGGGCGACTTGTCGTGGATCAAAAGTCTCATGACAGTCTGGTGAGGATCGAAAAGCCAACGATGCGTGCAGGCCTCACCGTGCAAGACAGCATTCGAGTCGAGCAACGACAAACAACACGACTCCGCACGGGGGAAATTTGAGGTCTGCACTGAGATGCAAGTCCAGCGAAGACAAAGGCCAATCCGAACTCTCAAGGAAGTCGGTTTCACCTGTTTCTCCACCAAGGAGCTGCTCAGCCTCAGAGGACGCCAAGAGGTCTTGGGCCATTTGGGTCCTGAGCTATCCTCATCTGAATCTCAGCTCTGCACGACTTGCAATAGTGGTCGTCGGTCATGGCACGTGGCCCGTCGAGGGTCGTCTGCAGTCAGGGAGGGTCCTAGCACACATTGTGAGGTTCAAGGAGCCCTGCAAAACAAGACACCACAGTGGACCACACTGGAGTCCTGCAGGGTGCTCAAACGGCACAGTATGCCTGTACTCAACGAAGAGCGCGTGCACGTAGCCGTAGAGGCAGAAAGCCATTGGATCCTGAGGATCCCGGCTAGCCTGAACCACACAAACAAATGATCCAGGGTTCAGGGTCAGGGGGCGAATGGGAATTCGAGTCTGAAAGCGGGCAGAAAAAAGCCGGGGCACGAGTCAGAAAACAGGAAAGTGACGCAGAAAACGTCCGGAAAACCAGGACTAAGCCCATAAGGCCTAGAACGTTCAAGCTTGAAACCCTGAAACGTCAGACCTCAAGGCCCCCAAATCTCCCTGCAACCTGGCTGACCCTGAACCTTCTGTTTTTTGGGCGGCCCTATGCGGCTCCAAAGCACAACCCTATACACATCTCACTGAACTGTGAGGAAAAGTTCAAAGTGGTTGGACTTCGGGAGTTTACTGCACGTCGGCAACCCCGTGATACGACTCCAAATAAGGTGGTTAGCCGCAAGCCTGTGGAGGACTAGGTATGCATGTGGGAAAACTGGAGAGTTGTTGGCCTGTGCACTTCAGGTAGCTCCAAGCTATCGCTGCACACTGCTCGGCCCAATGTATGCGTCTGCGGGGTGTGCCTCGTTGTATGTGGCGTGTGAGTGGTGGTTGCTGCGCCAACTCCCTGACTGTGTTGTTTCTCATCGTGGGGCGGTCAGGGTCAAGGACCTGTGTGTAGTACGTGGATTTTATGCCCTGCATCTTCCGCAGTGGACCCTGAACCCTACAGGCCCAAACCCAAATATCCCGAAACCCTCTCACCTCTAAACCCCAAAATCCCTAATCCCTCTTGGTTGTTTTCGACTCGGGGGTCGCAAGACAAAGTACGTACCCATCCTCCCCTTTTTGGTCTAGCGACGTCAGGCAAAATTGCTTGCACCGGGTTGACTCTCATAATAAGCCCCCTAAACCCTAAACTCCCTGAACCCTAAAACCCCTAAACCCTAAAATCCCTAAACCCCAAAAAAACCCCCAACCACCCTAAACACCCTAAACTTCTATGAAACCCAAAACCCCGAAACCCTAAAAAAACTAAACTGCCAAAACCCTCAACCCAAAAAAAGCCGATGCCCCACAACCCCTAAACCCTGAATACCAAAAGCCCTAAAATGCTAAACCCCAAAACCCAACCCTAAAATCCCTCAACCCTGAAATCCTAAACCCCAACATCCCGAAAAAAAACATAATGCCTAAACCCGGAAATCCTGATACCCCAAAATCCCTAAACCTTACAATCCCGAAAACATGACATCTCTAAACCCTAAAACCCCTAAACTAAAACCCTAAACCCTCCTAAACCCTGAAAAGAAAACAACCTAAGCCCTAACAGACCTAAAACCCTAAACCGTAAAATCCGACCTGAAAACCTAGAGTCCTCAATCCTACAATCCTGAACCCCCTACACTGCACTAACCCCTGAGCCTACAACCCCTGAACCCTAAAACTGCCCCGAGAATCCCTGAACCCGACAATCCCGCAACCCTAAAATCCCCTGCCTAAGCCCTAAGACCCCTGAACCCAAAAATCGCTAAATCCTAAAATCTCTAAACCCTCAAACCCCCTAACCCGAAAATCCCTAAACCCTGAAAATCCCAAAACCCTAAAACCCTTAAACCCGAAAATCCCCAAACCCTAAAACTCCAAAACCAGAAGAGAGCCCTACAATCCCTCAACCCCAAAATGTCCTTCTTAAACCCTAAAAATCCTAAAACCCCTAAACCCTAAAATATCTAAAACCCTAAACACCCCTAAACCCTAAAAATTTCTAAACCCCAAAACCCCTAAACCCGAAAATACCTCAACTCTAAACAAATCCCAAATCCCTTAAACCCTGAAATCGCTAAACCCTAAAACCCCTAAACCCGAAAAAAACCTGAACCCTAAACGTCCCAAAACCTTAACATCTCCAGACCCTAAAACCCCGAACCCAAAGATCAAGAGAGAGAGAGAGAGAGAAAAAAAAAAAAAGACAGAGAGAGAGAGAGAGAGAGATGTCAAAAAAAACACAGGCCGAGGGACCACACGACGTGAGGTTTGGGTTCGCATCCCCAAATTCAACCCCGAATCTTCCGCCGCTTGGTCCCGGGGGGCTCATTGGAGGAGCAAACGAAGTGAGATTTGGATCCGTTTTCCAAATTGAAGCCCTAATGCCCTGTTGCTCGGCCCCGGAGGGCTTATTGGAGATTTGGGTCCGTACTCGCGCATGGTATGTGCCCACACAATCTCTCTCTTTAAGGCCTCTAAACCCTGAGCCCTAAAAACCATGAACTCCAAAAACCCTCAACCCTAAAAACCCTAAACCCTAAAAACCCTAAAACCAAAAAAACTAAAAACGCTAAACCCTAAAAACCCTAAACCCTAACAACCCTAAACCCTAAAAGCCCTAAACCCTAAAAACCCTAAACCCTAAAAACCCTAAACCCTAAAAACCCTAAACCCTAAAAACCCTAAACCTCAAAACCGTAAAAGCTAACAACCCTAAACCCTAAAAACCCTAAACCCTAAAAACCCGAAACCCTAAAAACCCGAACCCTAAAAACCCTAAACCCTAAAAACCCCAAACCCTAAAACCCAAAAAAAAACCTAAACCTTAAAACCCTAAACCCTAACCCTAAGAACCCTAAACCCTAAGAACCCTAAACCCTAAGAACCCTATACCCTAACAACCCCAAACCCTAACAACCCAAAACCCTAAAAACCCTAAACCCCAAAAACCCCAAAAACCCCAAACCCTAAAACCCTAAACCCTAAACACACTAAACCCTACAACCCTAAACATCCTAAACCTCAAAACCCTAAACCCCCTAAACCCTAAAAACCCTAAACCCTAAAAACCCGAAACCCGAAACACCCTAAACCCAAAAAACCCTAAACCCTAAAAACCCCAAACCCTAAAAACCCCAAAAACCCAAAACCTTAAAACCCTAAACCGCAACCCTACCAACCCTAAACCCTAAGAACCCTAAACCCTAAAAAATACCTACAAGCTAAAAACCCTAAACCCTAACAACTCTACAGGCTAAAACCCTAAACCTGAAAAACCCTAAACCCTAAAAACCCTAAACCCTAAAAACCCTAAACCCTAAAAACCCTAAACCCTAAAAATCCTAAACCCGAAACCCTAAAACCCTAAACCCTAGGGTTAAGGGTAAACCCTAAAACCCTAAAAACCCTAAACCCCAAAAACCCTTAAAACACCAAAAGCCGGAAACACAAAAAACCTAAACCCTGACAACCCTAAACCCTAAAAGCCCTAAACCCTAAAAAACCCTAAACCCTAAAAAACCCTAAACCCTTAAAACCCCAAAAGCCGGAAACCCTAAAAACCCTAAACCCAAAACACCCCAAACCCTAAAAACCCTAAACCCTAAAACCCTAAACCCTAAAAACCCTAAAAACCCTAAAAGCCCTAAACCTTAAAACCCTAACCCTAAACCCCTAAAACCCTAAACCCTAAAAACCCTATACCCTAACAACCCCAAGCCCTAACAACCCGAAACCCTAAAAACCCTAAACCCCAAAAACCCCAAACCCTAAAAACCCTAAACCCTAAAAACCCTAAACCCTAGAAACCCTAAAAACCCTACACCTCAAAACCGTAAACCTTAACAACCCTAAACCCCAGCAACCCTAAACCCTAAAAACCCTAAACCCTAAAAACCCGAAACCCTAAACACCCTAACCCTAAAAACCCTAAACCCTAAAAACCCCAAACCCTAAAACCCAAAAAAAAACCTAAACCTTAAAACCCTAAACCCTAACCCTAAGAACCCTAAACCCTAAGAACCCTAAACCCTAAGAACCCTAAACGCTAAAAACCCTAAACCCTAACAACCCTAAACCCTAAAACCCTAAACCTTAAAAACCCTAAACCCTAAAAACCCTAAACCCTAAAGACCCTAAACCCTAAAAACTCTAAACCCTAAAATGCAAACCTAACTTTAAACCCTAAACCCCAACAACCCTAAACCCTAAAAAACCCTAAATAAACCCTAAACCCCAAAAACTCTAATCCCTAAAAAACCTAAACTTTAAACCCTAAACCCTAAAACCCTAAACCCTAAAAACACTAAAAACCCCAAACCCTTAAAACCCCAAAAGCCGGAAACCCTAAAAACCCTAAACCCTAAAAACCCTAAACCCTAAAAACCCTAAACCCTAAAACCCTAAACCCTAAAAACCCCAAAACCCTAAACCCTAACAACCCTAAACCTAAAAACCCTAAGCCCTAAAGCCCTAAAAACCCTAAACCCAAAAAACCCTAAAAACCCTAAACCCTAAAAACCCTAAACCCTAAAAACCCTAAACCCTAAAACCCTAAACCCTAAAAACCCCAAAACCCTAAACCCTAAAAACCCTAAACCTAAAAACCCTAAGCCCTAAAGCCCTAAAAACCCTAAACCCAAAAAACCCTAAAAACCCTAAACCCTAAAAACCCTAAACCCTAAAAACCCTAAACCCTAACAACCCTGAACCCTGAAAAACCCTGCTAAAAACCCTAAACCCTAGAAACCCTAAACCCTAGAACCCCTAAACCCTAAAAACCCTAAAACCCGATACCCAAGACATCCCCAAGTGCCCAAACCCCAAATCCAGTTCTCAAAGCTAACTCTATCGTTGTTCCCACAGCTCTATCGCAGCTCCTAACTCGTAAGATAAGCCGAATGCTGGTAGAAGGTGCCTGCGGGGATGTCTGCAAGGACGAAGCCAGGGGTCTGGGCTTGCCTGTGACCAAGGACTCACCATGACCTTCCACATGTCAACATGCAGGCTGGCGACAGGCCTTGTGGTGCCCCCTGCGCCATGAAAGCCGCCTTCTCTGTGCTGTGTGACCTGCATTATCCCAATCATTATGACACTTGACTATGCCAGCTTTGTGCAAATGCGCGCGGGGGAAATCTCCCGGGCCTGAGCTCGAAGACATCACCCGTGGCAGCTGTGCGCAGATGCACAACCCAAGCCCTGGCTCCTCCGATCATACCTCTGCATCTAAGATATCGGAATCAAATCAGGCAATTTGTTCGCAATCGCAGGCAACTCTGTCGAGGCCCCGGCTCTCCTCAAAGTCGCTTATAATCTCAACAGCCATGTCGCGCAGGCTCTCATTTCTTGGATAACCCGCGCGAGCATTCAGCACAGCAGCTTCGCGGAAGACCTGAGCTTCAACATTTGCTGTGCCTGCGTCGTCCCCTGTGTGGTCTCGGCCACCGACAGACCACGTCCCAGCAAACGGTGGCCCGTCGCAGTTCAGAAAAGCTGGGACCTGGTTCCAGAGTCAATGCTGAAGGTGTGTGAGGTCCTACGAAGGTGTACATGGTTGCAGGTATGACTCCGTATGGCGCTTGCAGAAAAAAATCAAATTCGTCCCAGCAGCTTGGAAGGCTCTGACGGGTGCTACAGCAATCGCGATGGTCACGATGAAGCGTGCCAGGGTGAGGACAAGAGCCTTCGCTTTTGTTCGAAGCGTGAACCCTGCAATACCCTGCATACCTGGCATACCTTCTCTTGCAGCAGCAATCAGCATTCAGCACAATTCTCTCGGAGACATGAGCGAAGAAGCTGGGGTCGACTCACGGCGTCTGCCAACGAAGGCCATTCAGGCCATTCAGGGATGCAAACACGACATGCTGTGAGCTCAGAGAATGCTCATGCCTGTGAAGTCATGAGCCCGAAACAGCCAAAGGTGTCAAGAAGATGCAGTGGTGTTTAAGTGCAAGCTTTTTGGTAAAAAATGTTCTAAGCCAAATACGTCAGGACGTGCAGCTTGTCAACATGGGGTTGCCAGCTCATTTCAAACATCGTGCAATCTGCAATACACATTTCATGATGAGTGCCCGCCAGTTTCACCCCATAAGCTTCCGATGTCATCCACTCCTCTTCGAATTATCCTCCTCGCGCTGAAAAGGACGTGCTTGTCAATTGGCACGGAATGCACTTGGGTATCTGCGGCTGCTCTGCATAGCTCTCAGTAGGACTGATGCTGCCGGAGTCTTTTGCAGACCTGGCCAGGCAACTGCAGAAACCGAACCAAGAAGTCAAAAAACTGGGCCGCCCAATTGCCTGCTCTCCCTTGCGGATGTTTGCAGCCAGAATCTCATCCTCCGTGTCGTCCGGCCAATTGTCCATGGTGCTGGCCAACAAGGCCTCCATTGGAGGAATTGCCCTGCACCAGACAAGCTTGCAGATCAGCCCATGCCACTTACAACGCCCTCGCGACATCCAGGCTCGCAGCAGTACAGCAATAAGAACAACTCCACTATAAAGACTAACGATGGGAGAGAAACTTGGAGTACCCGTCTCGAATGTCCTGCGCTGCTGATCCTCGATCTTGTCCAAATTCTGTTTAAGGCTGTCCAGCTCAATCACATGCGCCTGCCGGCTTCCGTTGTGCAAGAGCATCAATGATCAGAGGTGATGGACCTTCGTGCTGGCAAGCTGGGTCTGGATATGCTTGAGCTGCTCTGAGAGCTCTTGACGCAGCAGTGTCCCATTGTGAGGAGCTCCGTCCTGGAAACTTTCATGCACAAAAAGCATGCCAACCCTTCTGAAATTCGGCCTCCGACGTGGCAACAGCCCTGCGAATCTGGAGCAACTCCTGCAGCAGAGTCTCGAACGTTTCACGCAGACTTGGTCATATTGAACTGGCATGAATCCTCTGGTCCAAATCTTGGTTTCAGGCATGCACCAGCTTTGTCGAAAGTCACATTGCTTCGAGGGAAACAGTGCAAGATGCGAAACAAACTTCCACACCCCTAACCATGTCCTTGCCCAAGCACTTCCTGCCTATCCACTCTCATGAACCCAACCACCTCATACTTGTCCTGCTCCTGGGACTGCAGAATCGCATCGTACTGCGCCTGGAATTCGGGAATTGAAACGAAAATACGCAGGTTGATACAATAAGTGCCTTGAATCTTCCGAGGACTTCGGATTTTCGCTTCTCCTCCTCCTGTTGATGTCTGCGCACTTCGGCTTCCAAGTCTTGGCACCTGGTACAGGCTCAGACAAGAACTAGAATGCACATGCACTCGCAACTCGCCTTGCCTTGACCTCAGCTTGTCCAATCTGGCAGATTTGCTTGATGCTTTGCTCTGCGCATTACCTTCTGTTCCAAGTTTTCCATCCAGTGCCTGCAGCTGCAAGGTGCAACAGCCGGAGTGCAAACACCAAACAAAGCGCAGCCTGCTGATCCAAGCCCCACTTTGTGGCGTTGGCAGCGAGACGCTGCAGAACACTTTCCTCCACAGGAATTACAATCATCGCAGCCCCACAAGCCAAACCAGAACACACCCTTTAAAACATGACTGGGTCGAGCCACGCAACGTAACCCTCAACGACTGCGAATCCGGTATTTTGCTGATTCCACATTTGTCCAAGTAAAGCCAGGTGTCAGCCATCTGTCGGGCCAGACGCTTCAATTCATGAACATATGGTTGATCTTCACGCTGGCCTTTGGCAAGCTCAAACGCTGGTCCGCAACTAGTCCGTTCCTCAGAGAACTGATTGCAGCATTAAATGTTCTTCAACCACACCAGAAGAAACCTGCAGCATAACCAATGGACACCGTGTTTTCTGCGCCTGGTGAAGTCTTTCCTCGCGTGGCGAGCTTCGCCAGATAGCGATCGATTTCTTTGCTGAACAAGGCGTGGAAGTCCTGATCGGATGCTGGCACTGCTGGCAGATGCACCTTTCCAGAGTGGAATCCTGCAATGACATAACCGGCAGCTGTGGTCGGAAGGGATCCGAATGCCCGCCGTATCAGAGCCAAGAGCAGCTGCTTGCAGCCGTTTGCTCACAACGGTAGACTATGTATCTTGGAAAATATGGAATGCTGGGCACAAGAACGTGAGGAAGCGGACCATTTCCATGGTTGCAGGCGTGTTCGGACTCTCCATATGATTTCATGGTGGTGGGCGCAGCGCTTGTAGTCCCATACACGACCCAAAAAAAAGGCTGACACAGATTCAAAAACAGTTCCCAAAAACAGTTCCCAAAGTCCATTTGAATTTTGGGGCAGAAGCTACCACAACCGCCTTTAGCCCATGACGCATCAACCTGTCCAACCATATTCCTCATCATCTACCCCAACACACTGGGGCCGCTAGGATAAGCCCAAAACGGAAATGCCATGTACTGATGATTTGCAAGTAACATATGTCAAAAATTCTGACACCCAATATTTGTCCGATAGCATGCGCTCATTGGAGCTCGCTGCAACTTTAATGAACGCTTCGGTGCTCAGCTGGGCAATAGTGTTTTAAGAAATTGAAGAAATTCGACCATTATTGGCAACTCGATCTCTTTTGTGATTCTTCGTTGCAAACCGTAAAGTTGTTGTTTCTTAATATGTTGTTTTCACATGCAATGCCTATGAAGACATATATATATATGTGTATATATGTATGCCACTATATTTATTTTTTGTCTATCTATCTACCTACAAGTTGTTCAGAAGTATCGTTCCGTACCATCTGCGATTTCGTTTTCGCCATGTCTACAAACATCGCCTTCGAAATCTTGATCTTTGCATTTGTCCAAGTGGTGTTGTTGAATGGGTGATTTTTGCGCTTGGCTTTGCTGTATGTTGTTATTTCATATTTGCACACTTTGCACTGTCACTCCTTCTTGAAATTGAATCGCCATTTTTGCGACTGCGCCGTTTCGCTGTCTCCCTGCCAACAGTGCATGTTTCTTAACTTCCTAGCGACTTTCATGTCTTGACGTCTGCCACAATACTTTCGATTTTTCGTCTTTATAAAATGTCTTTCCTTGTGTTCTTTAATACTCCAGTTTAGCTCATTCAATGTATGTTCACGTGAAAATTTAACATACAATGTAACATAATGATGCAAAAATACACATGAAGGGCTAGCGCAAATTCCATGGCAAAAACCAACATGACATAATGTATGTCGAGAATACTGGTGAAAATTGAAACAAAACTAAACACCAAAGTTCAGGGACTCTTTGCCGTGTACTTCGGCACGCTGATTGGAGAGTCCCGGATTCTTTTTGCTCTTTGGTTCACGTGCAGTGCACGTGACATTGTTCCAACGACTGTCCGAATCAAAAAACGCAAAAATGCTCCAAAAAACTACAACAACAATTTCCGGGTCGAGATAGCTTGGACAATGTCTTCTTGCACTTTGTGTCTCACTGACCCAAACCGCTCAGCACAAGTTGTCACAAAATCAGAACGCTTTGTTCTTCAGACAGCTGAAGATGCCCTTCACGCGCGCAAGGTACCGGGAGGATAGAAGGGCGCACTTGTGCTATCTTCTCTTCCACGCTATGCCTTGATTGTACGAAAACCAAGACAAGTGTGAGCACCTCGGATATAAGTGTCTCAAAACATTGGTTTTTCACCACATCACAATGTGGGTTTTGTTTTCTCGGCTGCCCCCGCCCGTCCCTTCCGCCCGCTCCTTCGGGCGCGTGTGTCTCCGTGAGTTGTACCATAGAACGTGGCCTCAGCAAAAATTGCCACTACAAGCTGCCCTTCCTTATCCATTTACTGTCCAGGTCTGCAAGGAACTGAGTCTGATCTTGGGTTCTGGTGCGCAGTTTCGCTACTGCTTTCGCGCCTCTTACGAAATCGGACGCCTGTTGCGGTTGACAAGGCCCCCAGTCTCCGCGGACTTGGCAGATGAACACCGCCGAGACCTGCACTGCCAGTCAAGTAGGTTATGCTGGCCGCCCAGTCCAGCGTGGCAAAGGGAAGACTGTTGCCGTCAGACCCAGCATTCTCAACTGTGCCTTAATCCTCAGTCCGGAGCTGTTTTTATGCACGGACGCGCGGCTTTCGGTCAAGCACCTCGGCATGTTTAATGGGGGAACATGCACGCAGCTGTGGGGCGCCATCTTAAACACGCCCGCCCCGCGGCGCACCGTGCGCTTTTGGGAACCAGAGAATGGGCCCCCACCTTTGGACAACTTTAATGAAATGTTCAAAGGTCACTTTCTGTACAATATCAAACTGTTATGTAAACTACCAAACACATGACTGTTCAATCAATGGTCTTGACCACACCACAATACAAGCATACAACTGTCAGATGCAATCTCTCGCTCAGCAATCTTTTGTGTCACTTGGGCTGAGCCAATCCTTAGCCAATCCTCGTTGGCACCTTGAGCCTTGAGCCAATGCATCATGGACATGGCAATGTCCACATGCCAATGTTCTCTGTCAGTGTTGCATGTTGTTCATGCAATGGACAATGTACATGTGCAGGAAGTAAAGCTCAATCCTAACACCGTCCCTTGAATGAATGCTTCAGCAATCATTCACACTAGCAGCTTTACGACAACCAACTGTACAACAATTCTTGATGCTGCCGACCTTCTTGTGGGTCAATCTTCATTATGTTCTAGGGCAGTCATCTGTTACTTGACAAAACAAAGGCAATGGTCTGGAACTGGCATCTTGCAGACAATTTCTTGTTCTAGAGTTCCTTTACAATCGCAAGATCAACAATCGCATTGAATGAATGACTTAGCAATCATCCAAACACAGCTTACTCGCAGCCAATAGAACCAGAAACTAGAGACCAATGAATTAGAAAGCGCTTCTGCCAACGGGGCTCAATGAGCTCAGTTCTTCTTCACGTCAAGACGGCAATAGCTTTTGGTTGCAGTCAACCTATCCGAAGACATTCCTGGATTTGGCAATCTTTCTGTACCAAAGGCTCGTCACTTCGTGTGGCATTCTGAGAAATGGCTTGATGTCACAATGAGTAGGTCAATGTGACTCAAGATGCTCAATACGGCAGGTCTTGCAACATAGGTGGAGTTGCAATGACTTTCCAGATCCAAGTTCAATACGGTGTCCAACACCGTACCGAAGATCTCAATGAAAGCAATCCAATCGCAATCATTCGTCTTCTTCCGGAAACAATGCAAAACATCCCACGAAGCAGTCACTAGCAGCCTGCAAACAAAAACCAATCACTGTTCGTGCAATGAAATCTGCAGCATGAGAACAATGACAGAACCAAACAAATTTTGTAAGACCTCAATACTGTACGAAGAGGTTCAAAAGAAGCAGCTGACCAATGAGCAACGCTGAGACAATGCTGTCACTCAAGTAGAACCAACCAGGTTGCATCCAATGCAATCCAGAAGATTCCCAGGCGCAGCTTTGCAACGGCGATCAATACGCTGCTTTAGATCAGGGTCAAGGAAACAATCTCAAATCTGCACTCCGAAAGAATGACCCTTCTCACAACTTGCAGAACCGAGCAAGGCCATGTAGAGATAGCAATGTCGGATCTATGGCTTCCTGAAACCAGTGTATGTCAATCACAAGGAAGATATCATCAATCAACTCGGCCTGAAATAAAATAGTAGATAAGCTAAGCGATCCACAAACCATTCCATCATCCAAAGAACTCTCATGCACTGATACAGTCGCCAATAAAGGTCTGACTCCACGTAAAACTTGAATTCCAATCCTATACAACTTTGGGTTTTGAGCCCAATGAGGCGTTCCACCAAGCTCGCGGCTACAAGCGACGCTACCAGCGATATTTGATCTCACTGTGGTCGAATGAATGCAATGACTTGGTTTGCACATAGAAAAATACGGAAATAAAGAATCACAAGCAATGAGTTCACAAGCGCTGACCATTACCACGAAGACAAAGCAACTGCGAATACGTCCAAGCATATGTCAATCCAATCAAAGATCCATCGTTTCACTCTCAATGACCAGAGTGGTCAATGCACAACGCTTGCAGAATAACCTCTCACCACCAGTGTCCATATTAGCTCTTCGTGACCGTCACACAATCAGGCATCATTGGTGATGTCCTCTGCAATATACATAGGACCATCTGTCTGTCAAAGGGCAACGTCAAATCGTGAAATCACAATCGCATCGGCGAAGTGTGCGATGTAAGGATCAATGGCACTCAACAATCGCCATGAAGAACATCACGCGGAAGCAATATCCGCACAACGTGAAAATCAGAGGCAATGAATATCAGACACCACCAATCCTTAGTGCATCCTGCTCAATCCAGCATGTTGCCACAGCATCTCGCGCCTTTCGGGCAACAATACAGGCAATCTCGCCAGTCTTCTTCTCGTAAAGCCATGCTCCAAACCAAGAGGCAACCTCTCGCTGAAGAAGCAGCAAGGCAATCAGCTGTGGGATATCATGCTGCAATCCTGCAACGATGCAGTGAACCAGACACAAGCTCAATCCATACCTGTCAACAGCTTCTCGAGGTCAATAAGCTGTTGTCAGCCAAGCACTGGCAATGGACTCCAGAGGATGAGCGTTCGCCAGAAAACCACAATGCCACTGACATGCGATATAAGTAGAAATGGGTAAGCCACTTCGTCACAATCGGCACCATGCAGAAAAATAGCACCACTCGTTCGCGCTGACTGCAATGTCCTTTTCACCGCCAAAGGAAAGGAACAATGCTTCATCTTGTGATCAGTCTGCAGAACGCAAACCAATCTGCTGCGGTCTTGAAAGAACTTGAATCACGCACTCAAATGTGCAAGCAGCGCAGGTAGTGACGATGAGCTGCAGCACAATAAAACTCTGAGTATCTGTGTTGGACAACACAAACCCAATCCGAAGACTTGCCAATGCCTCGCACTGTACAATGCAAACGCCGTCTTCGTGAATCTCGAATGGTCTTGTTATGGCAATCCGAAGAACCAAAAGCAATCACTGGCACTGAAGGAAAAAATCATAATTCATG